AAGTTTGGTGTGTAAGGTTATAAATTTGGGGTGTAAAGTTATAGACTTAGGGTGTGAGGTGATTAGACTTGATATGCAAAGTGATATGCATGGTGTGCATTTGGTTCTTGAATTAGTCTTAGTCCCTCAAAACAATTTTCCTCCCAAAGGGAAATTTTATGGCAATTTTCCCTTAATTATTTTAAGCATGAGCAAGCTTTTTCTTTCTTGAAAAATCTTACATCAAATAGAAGTAGAATATGAAAGATACACCCTTTAATCCTATTTATAAGACAAAGAGAGAAATTTGTTTTATCCTAATTATAAGTCACTTCATTAAAATTTCAACACAAATTTTGCCTTTTACCCTTTATTGAATGTTGAAGAAAGAAAATGTGTTATTAAGGTATATATATTTAATAAGGATAAAGTTAAAATTTTATTAAAGTTGAGAATTTATTAAATTTTAAGAAAGGGTTAATGAATTTTAAAATTTTTTTTTATTTTGATGAAATATGTTAGAAGTGACTTATAAATAGGATTAGAAGAATATACACAAGGTTTTTTTTTAAAAAGGAATAGGCTTTTAACTATTCTCACAAGATCATTCGATATCCTGAATTACCAAGTAATGTGATGTCTTAACCTTGAAAAATGGTGTAATGTACCCTACCGTTAAATGACATATCCTCAAAACGCTTTTTCGTTGAACTTGAACGGTTAAAATCTATCAATATTTCAAACCACACCTTCAATAGGGAGTCCGAGATTGACAATGATGGAAGAGGAATGGCGAGAAATGAAAGATGATCAATGATAAGGCGAGACTCAAGAGGAAGAGTGACAGAGGTGATTGATGGCAAAGACCGAAGATGATGAGAGATAAAGCATGGCTTTAAAGAGAGAGAGAGAGATATACAAGCTGAAAGTGAATCGAGAAAGAGTCAAAAGTGTTAAAACAGTAAAAGTATTTTGAGAATTTCAATATTATGGACCCCAATTCTCTTCTAGAAGGCAACGAATAATGCAGACCGAAGGGTGCATATAACACCTATTAGTTAGTGCTGTGAAGCACAAAAAAGTGATAGTTGTCATATATTGTGGAGCTAGCATGTGTTTCATTTAAGGCACTAAAAACTAGATCAGCCATTAAATAAATTGTTCAAGGGTCTATGTTCCAACTATGGTTGAATGGAGGTTAAGCTAATTAAAGCCAATAATTTAAGTTAAACCGACAGGCGAACCTAAATAAACCTGAAAAAATTTAGGGCTAGAATTAACGAAATAATGATTTTTTAATGTTTGGCCTAGAAAAATTTGGGCCAAATCCAATTGAGTTTAGGCTTGGCCCAAATACCTAAATAAAAAATTATACTTGTAAAAAATATATTCCCTCTATTAAAAAATGTAATGTAATTTTTGAAAAGTTTGATATTCAAAAATATAAGGTATTTATAGTCTTTCAAGATGTAATTATTGCCTTTTTTCAAAAAGGCCCCTATTGATAATGAATTTATATTTATTGTTGGGTGTTTAATAGAGATAAATATGAAAAGATAGGGTTAGTTTGAAAGTAAATAACAAATTTATTGGGAGATGAGATTCGAACAAAAATGCCTTACATTTTTGAATGGAAGGAGTATAAAATAAATAAATATTAAGTAGTTCTTTAAGTTTTAGGTCATTTTATACTAAAATATCATATATTTAGGTGCATTACTGTATATTTTTTAAAAAATTTAAAATATTTATATTGTCATATTTTTTTTAATTTATAAAATATCTTGAAATAATATTTAAAATAAATTTTAATATTGATTTTTAGATTTTAAGACCTGTGTATTTTAAAAAAAAAATTGAATTCTATACATTGTTTAAGTGTCCAAAAATATATTTTATATTTTTATAAAATAAAAATAATTAATTTTAAAGTAAAAAATTAAATTTAATTTAATTTTAAAAATAAAAATGCTAGTATTTAGGTTGCTTGAAGCCTGAACAAATTTGGATCAGGTTTAGCTATTCAAACTTTTTAGAAAGTTCAAACCTATTTGGATTGAGCTCATTTGGTCTGAGCTTGAAGAAGCTTGGCTAGCTCAAATTACTAGTTGTAAAATGAATTATGATTAAAACAATATAATTTAATTAAAATATAGAAAAATATTTATATAGTATCTTGAAAAGAGTAATATTCAAATAAAAAGGTATTACCGCAAGTAAATGAGAGATTCATGTATAAATCACATATAATCCAATAAGACATGATTATTAAGGCATAGTTTGTTGAACTATTATTATTTTTTATTTTTTAATTCAAAATGATGTCATTTCAAACTTAGTAAGGAAATAGAAAAAAATAAAATTCAATTCAATCAAATAATTCAAAACTCTTGATCAGACCAGGCAAGGGATTGGTTCGTTGTTCTAATTGGCCAACTAAGTTGAATTTCAATACTACAGTTTCATTAATAAATGTATCTATATACTTATAGTATGAAAAGATCAAATTGTCCTTGAAGGAAAAAAATCATTGGAGAATGACATATAGGTTCCGGGTAATGAAACTAATTACTTACAAATCTCATCTACCTGATATAGAAATTTGACTTATAAATGAACTAAAGAAATAACTAATTTCTCCATTCAAGTACTTATTTTAATTCTTTCAAAAATCATCTTGCCTACCCAAATTTCAAGACTTTCAAACGAATGAAATGATGAAAGAGGAAGAGAAGGGGGATGACATTGCTTTTTTTTTTTTTTTTGAGATTGCACGTGATATGTTATATGTCAATAAAGCTCAATAATGATACTTTATAAATTTATTTTTTTAAAATAAACTATAAATTTTTAAAAATTAACTCTATATACTTAATCATTACAAAATCATTTTAATTTCCCCTCTATCTAAAGGATAATATTGAAAAATATGATTAATAAAATTTTATTTTTATCAAATTATTTTACATTTTTGAACAAAAAAACCAAGGTTATATTATAATTTGGGATAGAGATACTATAATTCATTGTTTTACCAAAAAATAGTATAACTAATTGTTTTTAGGACCAGATAGTTAGTCATATCATTGACTGGAGTTGTTAAAAGCTTGCTTAGATCAAAAAACTATTTTCATGATAGACTGCCTGTTTGAATAGGAAAATTAATTGATTTTGGAGGTAAATTCATTGTTGAAGTGAAAATTACAATCAATTATTCAAATAAGTTGTGGGTGGCATCTTAAGAATTCAATTATACCATTAAAATACTAATTATTTATAAGAGTCTTTCACTTGCCTGATTCTAATTTTATGTATCATAAAAGAGAAGATTAAATAGAGCATGAGGAAGATCATCATATTGATGAATATTCATCCTTATCATCATTCATAACATTTTCATTAGATATAGTTCATATTCGTAATGTCATTAGAAATCAATTTGTATATTATCATTTTTATTAGTTATTGTAAAATTGATGTTTGATATTTAAGAATTAAATTTTTCTCTTTTATTAAATTTATTTGAACTAAGATATATTGAGTTATTTATTTACATAAATTAAAATATTAATATTAATATAATTTAAATTTTTATAATTAATCAGATATATAATTTAAATTGTATTTTACTTTTTAAATAAAATTTAACAAATTTAATAATATTAGATACAGATTTATCAATCATTTAATTTTGAAAAGCAATATTTTTTATGGTAATTTGTACAACTAAAATTAATTCTGACTAAATTATCCAAACATCTTCAATTCTGTTAAAATTAATTTTTAAAAAATAGTATCAAAACAATTACATTTTAATATAATCAATTATAATTAAAATCAATTATATTAATTAATTATTTTTATAATCAACTATATCCAACTAAAATCTAAACGGGTTCAGAGTTGAGTTGGATCAGAGTTGAATAGCCATTGAACTAGAAATCAAAGTTTAACTAGAAACCCAAACAATTTTAGAAAACCGAATGAATCTAAAGTCTAAACATAAAATAAAAAAGGTAAAATTTTTGAAAAAAATCAAAAAAAATTCAAAAATTAGACCTTATTAAAAGTCTACTTCATTTTTGGACCTTCACATATTATATACATATATAATATGATTTGAGCATACATATATATAATTTAGCCAAGATCTACATATATTTAATAAGTTATAAAACTATAATTTATAAATATAATATTATTGATTTATGATCATGCTATATTGGTATTTTATTAACAACTAGGTATAGTGAATTTATTTCTTATATATATATATAATACATTTAATTTTTTAATTTTAATTTAATTACTACACTACTGATGTGAGAATTGGTTAGATTATAAAAAATGAGTTCTGCTAAATTTTTTGGTTTAAAATTCGTTCTGATTTTTAAAACTTTCACACTATGACTTTGACATTGAATATTTATACTATTTTACATTTAGATTTCTACCAAGCAAAAAAAAATGTTTCTAATTAAATTAGTAAATTTTGCAATTCCAAATTTCACAAAAAACCACCGTTTCAAATTAACATGCTATTGATAAAGGATAATTTAATTGATAAGGAATCAATTCATAACCTATAACATCGTATAATTAAATTTTATTATTGATGTGATAACTTTGTTAATGAGTAATTTATAAATACTTTTATGAGTTTTTTTTAACTTGAGAACATGTTTTGGTTTTAGTGAATCTTCAGACTCAACTCATATAAAACTTTTCATTAAAAAAATAAATAAATATGCTAATTTGTTGAGTTAAAAAAAAAATCTAGTTTCCAATTTAACCCCTTCTACGTGTACCAGCTGTTTGTGCAGGTTTTTTTTTTAAAAAATAATTTGAAAAAACACAAAGAGTAACGGACTGGAGCGGGTCCCAGCGAGTGAAAGCGTGCACAAGTCATGTGGTCGTGGAAACGGACCTTATTGTCTACCTCCACCTTCCTCGCTTGGATTTTTGTTTCTTCTTTTAATGAAAAGCTTTAAACTTGAAAATATAAAACCGGGAAATTAGCAAAAAGCTCTGATAGATATCTGATTTTATTCATAGAAGAAAGAGAGAGAAAGAGAAACGGCGCTTTGTGTTTGGCTGGGCTCTTTTCAGTTTTCTCATATGCAGCAGCACACATCTCAAGCAACCCAGGCTCTTATGGAAGCTGCTATCTAGAGCGACCGAGCGTGATCGATCTTTCTGTAACGGCTAGTTTCGAGAGTGGCGAGAAGAGAGTGAGAGAGAAGGGACTGTGATCACTGAGCAGAGTTTTGGTGCTGCTGTTGATATGGATTACGACAATGACAAGTAAATCTCTGTTTTTCTCTGGGTATTTCTTGGTGTGATCGGTTTAATGGATGGGTTAGTCTGGTTTAGGAAGGCAAACTTTAGGAGTGCACTTCGGGTTTTGGCTTTGAAGATATTGTGACTTGTTCAATCTGGTATATCTTCATTTCTATGTACATTCTATTTGGGGTTTCACGAATCACGTACACCCGGGATCCCTGTTTTCTCTTTTGCTGTCCACTCTATGCTTTTCTATTTCTGTAACTGCCTTTCCGGTGGTCATAAAACTCCAGAGATTGTTAAATTTGTGCGAGATTCTGAGGATGAGGAAAGGTTGGGGATGGGGGTTTTTGATTTAATTGGTGGTTCATCAATTGCATCCTGGGTACTTTCTTGTATTTTTGTTACTTTCTCCCCTTAACAGTTATGCTTGTACTACTTTTTTTGGGGGAACAGCTTGTACTAATACTTTAATAAAAAGTAAAGCCGTTTAAACACATAAGCATGATTGCTTTTCTTTGTGTAAGATCTCATTTATTGGCTACTGGGTTGTAATTAGTGTTGCAGTGGACCATGCTATTAATATCAATGCTACTCGCTTTGGAATGGCTAGTCTATAATTTAATTATGATTACAGCTTTTATCCGGGGACTGAGCTCAGTATATACCCAATGATATCTTCTGTGTTGGTGATGGCGCAAACTTATTGTGTATTTTCTCTCTGTAATATTTCTGGCTGGCTGGCTTTATATCAGTCGATGTTGAACTGCCTCCACGGCATTTACATGTCTCCCATTTCTTAATGTTGCTAGGAAACCATGGGATTGGCAGAAGGAGGATCATTGTCTCCAAAAGGCTTCCAATATGAGTAAGTTCCACCTAGGCTTCAAGTTAATTCTTTCAGATAACTGATGCTAGAGAAAATGTTATTGGTTTGTTCAGGCATGTCTCAGGAGCTATGGAATGAAGTACCTCAAAATGAGGAAGATCTTTCCTACATGTTTGATGATGAAACAACCCCAGTTAAGGCTTGTGGAGATTTGGCTTACCATGTCAATAATAATGGTAACGCAGTCTTTTTGACCCTATCTAATTAATATGTGCAACTTGTCATATTGTTCTTTTTGCCTTTTTATTATTGTTATCCTACTTTTAATTTAAATAAAAGTGAATTTCAGATAATTCACAGAGTGAACTAGAGGAATGTAGAGTGACTTCTCAAGTGAAGAGGCGTCGGATGCTACAATTCAGCAGTGAAGATGGGGACCTTTCCATGTCCTGCGATGACATGTCCTCAGAATACCTTAAATTAAATGTGAGTTATGGTAGTTTTTTCTATAACTGACTCTTCATGCCCAAAGCATGCCAGATGGTTGATGGTTCTAGCTTCTAACAATATACAAGTTATTTTGGTTAGATACCTCACCATTTTGATATTACCTTTGGCTTGTTGATGAATGGTAGCATGGCTTCGTGTAATTTGTCTCAGTTTTCTTCTGTTTGGTTTCTCTTCCTTGTTATTATACCTATATCTTTCATCATCACCATGTTTGAAGAAAAATTAGTGACTTTGTTTGCGTTATTATTCAACTGATTTTGCTACAAAGTGGAGCTTATTCACAGATTTCCTTCTTAGTATTTTTATTATGATATGATGGTTTGGCGTACAATTCTGTCTACTTATTCATCTAGGATGACTGTTAATCATATGCAGGATCCAAACTTGTCGACGAAGCATTTGCATTGCATTAGTCCTCTTTGTGGATAGGGGATCTAGTCTTCCACATAGTTCTAAGTTTTCTTGTCTTTTGCATATATTCTTTCAAGAGTGCATGAGTTTCAGCGAGTCAGATCCTAAAAAGATTGTTATTCCATTATGTATACAGGGGAAGGACTCTATGAAAGATGTTTTTTTCGAAGTTTCACAATTGATATCATCAGGTTTGCCTATTGCTAATCCTTCTTTGATTGCATAGTTGGATGTTTATTTTTGGATCTTTCTTCAATCATGATGGAATATGTATTAGGAAATACATCTGGCTCCAGTTGTGATGATCTTGAGCATTCAGCCGAAGGGTGGCTTGCACAGTGCTTTAATGATGCTGAGATGGATTTTAGTCCTGATGATATTATGTATGTCTCTCCAAATCTGATTTTTGGCATATATTCATTTTTACACAATAAATTGATGCTTATATTTTCTGATTCAGGAATCTCTCGGAGCAAGACAAGATTAATGTTTCAGGTACATGACATGGCTCACAAATCAATTCATTATTCTTTGATTTTTTTTCCCTTCTTCCTTCTTTCCTGTATGTATTTATGCTAGGAAAAGCCTTGCCTAAAGTTCTTTAGGTATCCAGCTCTCCTACCACAATCTTCTTCATGTTATTCATACTATTAGCCATGCCTTGCAGATCTCTGTGATGTCTCACCAGCTTTTGAACAAAATGTGGTTCAGCAGCGTGTCACTGGAACACCCAAAAATATAATCTTTAAAGGTTTAACTTCGTTCTATGTGGTTTTCTTTTCAAGATATCCTCTTAGGTTCTATTTGAATTATCCTCTAGTGACATGGAACTTAAGGAAATCCCCTTTTATGCTTATATGATACTGATATGTAAGAATGTAACAACATCCTTAACCAATAAATTGTAGTGAACAACACCATAAGAGTTTTTGAGATGAAATTCTAACTACTTCAGGCTGGTTTTATGCGTGTAGGAAGGAAGTCTTTCATACGAGCACCCACAAAACTGGCTTCTTCAGTGGCCTATCCATTTGCCTTCATCAAACCCAGTGGTGCTCATGGAGATGTAACTCTGAAGGAAATAAACCAGCGGATTCAGACTCCACCTCCTTCAAAACCTAAGAGAAGCAGTGAAGAAGACCCCTCTGCTTACCCTAAATCAGCCTTCTCAGGGAAGCCCGTAGTTGGGAAAACCAAAATTCGCACTGAAGGAGGAAAAGGCAGCATTACAATCATGAGAACTAAAGGCTAAAGTGTAAGTTATCAAGTACTAACATTTTGTCTCACCCCTTAATACATGGGGTCTAGTTGATCTTCTGTAATATATATATCCGGCAGACTACAGAAGTTAATGCTGCAACTTTTTCCTCCTTATATTGACACTTTAGTGTTGCTTGTCTTATTCATAGTTCATGATTTGACCTAAATCTGTAATGAGATGATGTTCCTTAGCTCCAAACAACTCCGTGGCTTTAGAATGCCAAGCCATTATGTTGTTTAAGTAGGTAGTTCGACTTTGGTTGTTGCGCTCCTGCATTGGAAAGTCTGGCTAAGGCGCTTCCAACCCCTGGTTAAGGACCTTTTTACCAAGCTTGAGCTTGATTCTTGTAATTGAATCACATAGACATTTGTTCCAATCTTATTTCTTGTCTTTTATTGCACTTGCCATGTATTCTCCTTTTCCTTATTTAGGCTTGTCTTTCAGCAGTCCCTAACCCTCCCTTTTCATCTCATGGCTTAGAAAAATATCCAGTTAAAAAAAGGAGTACACAGAAAATATATAATGCATTAGTTTACCTTTCATTCCTATCATGATTTGAGGCTTTGATTTTTATTTTATTTTTTAATGGCCAACCAACACATGCCTCAGGTTGAGTTGGTGTCTTTTCTGTCTCCAAACTAATACATGGCTCGGGTTGAGTTGGGGTATTTCTGGCTATAATTTGACACATACTGTTCTTAGGAGTTGGTTTCTTCATGGCATGTGTGCTTGTACTATTAAATGGTGATTGTTTTAGACAGAGTCTGTATGCCTTCATGATGCTACCCATGTTCATTCCAAAAAAAAAAAGAAAAGAAAAGAAAAGAAAAGAAAATTAATCACTTGGTCCTTATAGTTTTGACTCAGTTATAATTCAGTCTTTAAACTTTGACTCATTATAATTTAATCCATGAAGTTTTGACTTGGTTGTAAATTGGTCTTTGAATTTTGCCTCTAACAATTTAGTTTCTGAAATTTCAACCTTTTAAATATCGGTCCTTATAAAATTATAAAGAGTAAAAATATTTTAAACTTTTAATATTTATAAATATTAAAAGGGTTTAGTAATTTAAGATATTAGTAATAAATTTTAAAATATTTATAATCTTTATAATTTTATTTTTTAAAATATAGGGACATATATTTAAGAGATTAAAACTTTAAGGACTAAATTGTAAGAGGTAAAACTCAAAGAATGATTTACAATTGAGTCAAAATTTTAAAGACTAAGTTATAACTAGTTAAAGTTGAGGGATGACTGAGTTAAAATTATAAGGATTAAATGATTAATTTTTTTCAAAAACCAGAGGGGACATTTGTGCAGCTCAAAATTAGTATCTAAACAAGTGTTGATTTGATCTTGGAACTTTAACTTATGACTCTAAACGTAACTTTATTTAATTACTCCTTTCGTCCTAAATTATAAGACATTTTTAGATAAAATTTTATATACCAATAAATCTCAATAAATACACCTAACAATCTTTTCAAAATAAAAATACAAGCTTTCAAAAATATTCATAATTTAATATATTGAAAACAGAAGGGACATAAATTAATTATAAAGAGAGAAAGAGTAATATTAGAATTGCCGCATTTAATGAAACTTGAATTTATTCAAAGTGTCTTATATTTTAAAACGAAAAAACTCCTTCAAAAGTGTCCTATAATTTGGAATGGAAGGAGTATTATGTTTAACTAACTTTCTTATACTATAAGTTCATTAAAGTTTGCTTACATTTTAAAAACTTTTAAAAACTGAGAGAATATGTTCATTTGATCTTCGAACTTGATACTGCATCACTGTTACTCCCTGCAATTGTTTTTGGCGGGGGAGTGGGCCGAGCAGCCAACTGACGCTTTACAAGGGAATCAATTTGGGACGGGCCCACCAATCATTAGTCTGAGAAAGGCCCAATGTTGGAACGATGAAATTTTAAAACTCTGGCCCTAAAGATGACACCACAAAATTTCTTGTTGCCCACAGTTATCTCTTATAAAAAGCAATTCTATTTAAGATATTATAAAGTACCGAAATGTGGAGATCTCTCTGAGCAAAAATTTAAATCTCGATCCACACACATATGCTCATTTTTCATATAAAAGAAAGTCAGATATGACACTTATAGTGTTTGGTTTTGAGCTTAAAATATTATCAAATAATCAAATAATTATATGAAAAAATGTATCCACCCTTTTTAACAATTATATATTGTAAAATTTGTAATGAGAATTAAAAACTTAAAAAAATTTCTATACTTAACCTTTTATTTTTATATTCAAGATAAAATGTGTATTTTTTTTATACACCATTTATTTCATTACAAACTATTTTTAATAATATTATTAGTACTTTAATATTCACTTATTTTAATTTAATTAGATAAAAATATATTAAATATAAAATTAAGTACTTACTTCTTATTTTTGGATTATACCACTGGGCATCCTGAACATGTGCCACTTTAACTAAAGGACTTGATTGGGGTTCAGATTAATTCAGATTAAACTAGGTAAGCCTAACAAGGGTGGTAAAGCTCTTTGATTAAGTATTTAATGTGAAATTCCATATTTCTGATTAAATTGGTATACTACTTGTCAATTCAACTGGGCTCTTTGTAGCAAAAATAAAAGCATATCATAATTATATAGTATTGGGAATTGATCCATCTTTTTTTAGTAATGAAATTATGAAAACAGAAAAATTGAATGAAAATACACAATCAAATCATGCCAATACCAATCGCCTTATATGCCCTAATGGTGGATGATAAAAAATCATAATATCTAAGCTGTAGTGAGACGTTTGGTGGATAAGCACCTCAATGCATCTATTAAGCATGCAGTCAAAGGTGATTATCCAGTATATTTTATAACAAAACTTTTAATTTTTTTAATATTCTCTTCATTTTAAATTATAAAATATTTTTAAATAAAATCTCATATATTAATAAATTTTATTAAATATATTTAATAATATTATTTTTTAAAATAAAAGTATAAATTTTTAAAAATACATATCATTTAATATATTAAAAAAAGGAATAAAAAATAATTATATAAAAAAAGCATAACATTAAAATTAATAAATTTAAAAAAAATTTAATTTATTTAAAATGTTATATTTTGAGATGAAATTAAAAAAAAAATGTTCTATAACTTTGAATTGAGGGAGTAGCTTTTGATGAGAATTTGATTAGTCTTTTTATGTTTGTTGTGGGGTAGGGGTGGGGGCACGATGATCAATGATCTGTTTATTGTTTCTTTTTAAAAGTAATCAATTTAAAACAACTCACACACCGACATTGATCTGTCTAATTAAAGGAAGCTATTTTCACATAAATATTTTATATTCAGAAAATCCCAACTCTTAGCTCTATTTAAGAAAGTCCAACCAATTAATGTGAATGGATAAAATTTGCTTTGAATCATTAATGTTTCCCACTCACAAAGAATCTCTTCACCTAAAGAGAATGAGTGGGTGAGAAAAGCATTTTCTTTAGGCCACCAGCGCAACGTCAATCGCTTTCCCCTTCACAGGACCCAGAAAACGCAGACCGTTCCTCAAATTCTCAACAAGTGTAAGCCAGTGAGTGCCAGTGATGAACATAATCTTATCAACAAATTCCATCTCTATTCATCATCATCATCGTCATCGTCATCCACACTTTTTTTTTTTAATTCATACCTCAAACTCCACTTTACAAGGGAGAATTATATATTGTTTTGACCCAAAAAAAACAAAAACTACAGAGACCAAAAAAAAATTATGGAATCAGAGAGATAATACTGAAGGGGAAAAATGGAGATGAAAGATGAATGAATCAGAACAAGTCAAGAATTTCCAGAATAACATTGTTGCAGAGCGGACAATGGCCTCTACTCACCCAAAGCTCCCTCGAACACTGTCTGCAAAATGTGTGTCCACAAGGTATAAACGCTGCTCCTTTATGCCTCACCATACACACGCAACAGTTTTCCTGTATGCTCCACTGTTTGCTTTCTTCTTCTTCTTCGTCTTCGTCCTCTTCCTTCTCCACTTTCACTCTCTGATACACTTCTTCGTCATCATCTTCATATCCTGTTCTGTATTGTGATGCATCGAACCCCATTTGCCTGTCTGTCTCCTCTAGCAAATCCATCAGCGTCAGCGACATTCTCACCGGCTCGTCTTCCCCCTGTGCTGCCGCCGATGCAGCGGTGGCGGCGGCGGCCTCTGCTTCTCTCGCGGACAATGCTCTCTCCTCTGATAAAATCGTGGATAGGCGGCGCGTGCCTTCACGCGCCGGATCCCAGTCGTCGCACTCGGATCCGTCGTCGCTGTCCAGGCAATCCTGGAAAGTCACGGCGCCGTCTCGACGGAAGGAATCGAGGCGCGAAGTTTGGTGAATTGACTCGCCGGAGAAGGCATCGTTGGGGGAAGATCGTGCTTGGTTTAAGATCTGGCCTAAGAATTCGGGTGGGTTACTGGTGGATGGGGCGTCCGAGTTGCTGTTATTCCGGTTAGGGATAGAGATATCCAGAGCCGGGATGTGAATTGCGGAGAACCAAGCAGATCCGGCGCGCTTGAGCCAGAGCTTGTCTTTGAAGATCTTCCAAGACTTCTTGTCCCTTGTGTTGGAATTATCTTCTCGAATAATATCCGAGAGGGTTCGGCTGCTGTTAAACTGGCGGCGGCTCGGCTCGGATGCTATCTTGTGGCTTGCCATCGCGGCTTCGAGGGTCGAACCGGCAAGCGAGTCTCTGCGGCCGTCAACGGCAGACATTTGATCATAAAGCGTCATTCTCGGGCGACTTTCCATTTCCAGTTTCCCAGAAAATTGATCGGAATTTGCAGTTTCCGAGAAAATCACGGCGAGAAACCGAAATTGGAAAGTGAAGAATTCCTAAGAATTCAGTCGATCCCGGAGAGAAATCTAGCTAGGCTTGGTGTTCACATGGAGAATTCCTCGGGAAAGTTGCAAACTCGGCAGAATAGCAGGCAAGACCGCAAGAAATGGAAGGTTCGAATGGGTTAATAACAACACCACAGAGATAACGAGTAAGGACTCAGCATTTTTCTCTCGTTTTATTTTCTCGGAAAATTGTCGTTTTCCGAAAAAATAAAGCAGAAGCAAGTAAAGAGAGCAGAAGAAGACAGGGGAACCAAAGAAATTTAACCAGGCTTATCACAGATTGAGAAGCTAACGTATATAAAACGAAAAATATTTTAAAAAACACAAATTAATTTCTTTATCTCCTAGTGGGTCCCTGAAAAAGGAAAAGATTCGGACGAGAGGGAAGAGAAAGAGAAGCCTCGGATTCCTTTGGGACCCCAGAAGATGAACACACACAGCTTTGTTTGAGGCTCTGATTGATTTTTTTTTTTAATTTTCACAAATTTCTTAAAAAACCCAAAAACAAAATTCAATCAAAAGATTTTTTTAAATAAAATTCTGAGATAGTAAAAAAGAAATTATGAATATGGGGCTCACAAAGATGATGATAAAAAGAGAGAAGAGAAAGATGCTATGCTGTGTTGTTTTGATGTGTTTCTGGATTTGTCAGCATGTGCTCTCTAATCAATTCCCCTTCATGGATGATGTTATTGATGAGTGGTAGGTAAAGGGGAAGAGATAGAGAAAACAAAAACACAGAGAGAAGGATTCAGAAGTGAACATTAGAAATAATTAAATTATATAGTTTATTCAGATGAATTTCTTTTTTAGTCAATCTTTAAAATTGAAATCATTTTTCAAAAAAAGAAAGGATGTTTTTGGATTTTAGTTTAAACACCAACGAATTTTATGGGGCAACACACAACTCTGCATCGTCCAGACTTGCTGAGGGTGGAAAGATGATTCGTTGATTACTTTTTCTTGTTAATTGACAATAATTGAAGCAACATGAATGCAATTAGTTAGTTAAGAAGGCTTAACACTTTTATTAAGAATTTGTTCTTGCCGACAGAAGAATTACATCAAAAAAACCAAAATGTCAAAAAAAAAAATAACCGAAGCAGTACGAAAACTAAAGGAATAACAAAGAGCGATGAACAAAGTCTCGAGCACGACATGACTCCAAGCATGACTGCAGAGGGATTGGAGATCTCAAACCAATCAATCAGTTACATACAACCTCCTTCACTATAGCGTGAGTCCATCCCCTTATTTTATTTATAAATTATTTTTAATATTTTTATCATAATTAAAAAAAATAAATTTTATTAATTATATCTAAAAATATAATAAAATTTTAACTTTATCTTTATTAAATATAAAATAAATGAGTAAATTGATTTTTAAATTTTAGATTTATAAGCATTTGAAATCTTAAACTCATTTTTTACACAGTACTTCTCTTCAACTTTCAAAAAAAATATATTTTGTTTCTTGCTGTTAATAAAAATTAACATTAACAATTAGTTATCCAAAAAATTAACAAAAAAATTTCAAAAATTATAAAAAAATACCAAAAAATTATAGTGAAAAATTCAAAAATTATAGACATAGGCCCAAAAAATTACAAAAGATTAATCAAGAAAAATTCATTGGTCTTTTTTTATAATTTTTTAGTTAATTAATGATCAAAACTAGCTTTTATTAACAGAATAGGTCAGATTGTACCGTTTTTAAAAATCAAAAAAAAATATTATATAAAAAATGAGTTTAGGGGCATAAAAAATGAATTTAAGGTCTTAGGCGCTCTTAAATCGATAGTTTTGGAGCTAATTTATTATTTTACCCTTAAATATATTTATTTTGAAATTAAAATACTCTAACATTTAATATGGGTAAAATTATAAAAATGAACATAAAAATCATTGAAATATTTTATAAATAATATCAAAATAAATACTTTCTTTATCTTATAAATAAAACTAGAGAAGCAACTAACAGCGTGAAAGGAGATGTTAAAATACCTAATTTTTCATTTTTGCTTCAAATATCTAACCATTTCTCTTCTTTCCTTTAAATTTTTTTATACTATATAAACAAATGATTTTAGTATGTGAGATTTTAAAGACTAAAATTTAAATGTATCAATCCATTCACCACCTTGACCACCTAGATGAATCGCATATGAAACTGATCTCCTACAATTACTATTAGTGTGCCCTGTGAGGCTGTGAGGGTCAAGGTCAAAATCGTGGTCGCCAGTATAATTTTCGAGTACTCAAAAAATGCATCAGCTTGTGAGAGAGAGAGAGATCACGAGAGAACGAAGCAAGCGTTCATCATTGGGTTTGACATCCTGAGATACAGCATAATAAGTAGGTTAGTTGAATGGTGTGCAAAATGATTGAGCTTTTATAACGTGTTCGAGGGATTCATGATTCTAATCATCAATATTTTCCACATAAAATACTAATTTTCTGGGAAAGCAAGCTGTTAACGGACCTTGAAAAGCATGATTCAGTTTCGTACCCATGCAATAGTTTTGTTTTGCAGGATTTGGATCCTATGTAGTGGAATTTGTGCAGTGTCTGGTCTTGACCGTGCTTTTTATCCAATGAATAGGAAGAGGAAGACGTGAATAATTTATTCTCAGTTGCAAAAGCACACAAACATTTGTATTTTAAAATCTATTTTTTTGCAGCCCATGAACATGAATGGTCACCATCAGTTCAATACCAAAGATTCCTCATATCACTTAACCCCACAAAAAGCCTAAGAAATTTGTAAGGAACTCACCGCTGCCGCCACATCAAGCTCCAGCAACTTCGCATCCATCACCGGCCAAGAACTTCGACTCTTCCGTATCTTATCGTGCATGGACATCGGCACATACCTATCGTCTTCCTTTAACCTCGGGATCTCCCGCCATAAAGAATGCATCTCCGCTACAGCAGCCTTCTCCGAATACGTGCATCGGGTATAATATGTATCCAATGTGTTGATACTTGATACTTATATTTTTAAAAATATAAGATATGATATGTTTTTTACATGTGCGTATATATTTATGAAAAATATTAAAAATATAATTTTAATTTAAAAAATATCTAAAATAGCATACACATATAATTCTGTAAAATAATATCAAGCAAAATATATATAACCATTACTTGTACTTTTATTCTATCTCTGCTAATAGTTTTCCAACCTAGAGTTTAAATGCCAAAAGCCTATATTTTTATAATTAAAAATATAATTTTTACTCCTTCCATTTAAAAAGCATATTTGATCTTGTTAAATTACATCCAAACAATTTTTCACATCCAAAAAGTGAAAAAGTGCTTTTGAGATGTAAAAAGTATCATGCGTAAAGGTACTTGAAAATGCCTTACACTTTTTAATGTATAACCTCTCAAAAAATATAAGTAAAGGATGGAGTAACTTTTTATTATATCTAAAACTTATTTTTTAAAGAAAATCTAATCTTTATTTTAAAAGCAAATCACAAAAATATATTAGGAATAAAAAAGATAAATATTGCAATATTTAACAAATTTTAATTTCTTAAAATTAGTCTCAAAGTATTGGCTACCAACTCACAATCTATGAGTATAGGATACATATTAAAAATAAAAAAAATTAATATTAAAAAAAAATGTTCTAATACTTTATGAACATGTATAAAAAAAGTATCAGAAAGTATATGACACCAATAGAGATACTTAAAGTTTCGGTACTTTATAACCATACAGTCACATCTTTCATCTTCTCTCGACCCATTTTTGCTTCACCTTACCCTTGAGATTTTTTTCGGTACAGGATCCCCATCTGCCGTGCACAGTAACTTGCTGTTCTTCTTCACATACTCTTATATTCCCTCACAAGCTTGATTCATCATTGCGAAGTCCAGATTTTTTATTGAAATTGGTTGTCTCGTCACAATCCTAGTTTTGGATGCTCTGTCAAGTTGCAAATAAGAATATAGAAAAAGATGACCAAGAGGAAAGAAAAAATAGATCTCAAAATCTTAATGTTTTTGTGCTTTGCGGTTTATAAATATATTATGCACATACCCCTTTTCAACCATCAGACAAAAAAGCACGATTAAGATTAACCCACTTCTCAATCACTGCACAAATTCCACTGCATCGGATCCAAATCCTTATAGTGCAACCAATAAAGCTGTGTAATTTTGTTTTTGCTTTTTTTTCCCTTCACATATTTCAATAGAATTTTAAAATTTAAAAGTTAATATAAATTTAATTAAAAGTTTATATTAACTTCATGTTGTCCTTTAATTCAAAAAAAAAATAAAATTTAAAATAACTGTTTGTGGGGAAAAAAAATCTAATTCAAGAAATTGTTGGGGTAAATTGGAGTTGGCTCAACTTGATCCATTTTATGTGCCATGAAAGAAAAATGAGACTTCACTGAAGTGCCAACTTGATTATATTCTTTGCTTGAATTTTTTTTTTATTTAATTCTATCACTCAATAGTGTGAAAAATTTAAAAATATTACCATCACCTATCCAAATTATTCTAAATTCTCGTTATGTGAAACAATTTTATGGGTATCTCAAGAGTACTTTTAACATCAACGTTTGAGGCTTTAAATTCAAAACCGTTATCCAAGGAAAATTATTGTTCTAAATGAGCTGAATTGACACAGCTATGTGTCCAGAAGTCAGTACCAAATACATAACCATAAAGGTCTTGTGCATAAAAAAATAACTATATGGCTCATGATTTATGAATAATATGATTTTTTTTAATAAATATTACATGTATGTGAAGGGCCTTAGTACTTCTCTTGGCCCTCTCCAAGTCAATCACAAGTCACAACTGAAAGTCTGAAACCATGTTTAAATGTTAGCCAGGAAAAAGACTACGTTGAAAAGTTTGGAATAACATGTAATGTGAAGATATATAAAAAGAGTGAAATAAAATGACAATGAAACTGAAAAGACTTATCAGTTACTCCCTTTGGAGTATAAATAAATGAAATGACTTACTCATATTTAAATTTATAAAGCATTTAAACCACGAAGTACTCCATCCATTCTAACTTATAAGATATTTTTAGATAAAATTTTACATACTAATAAGGTTCATTAAATATACTTTATAACTTTTTTTTCAAAACAAAATATAAACTTTAAAAAATAACCTTCCTTTAATACTTCATTGATGAAAAAATATTAAAAAAAAGAATATATGAAAAGGGTAATATTGAAAAAGTATCATTAATGAAACCTTATTTTTATCAAAATATCTTATATTTTGAAACACTAAATTTTTTTTAAAAGTATTTTATAATTTAAGATGGAAAGATAATTAAATAAGAGTAAAAGCTGAAAAATAAAAACTTGTTGAAGATATAAATTAGTTAAATTGGTTACTCCTTCTTGTCCTTCTTACAAAGCCCTTTACAAAGATAAAAAAGGCCAATCATAAACTGTTCTACAAAATTATGAAAAGGGATTTCATTAAAAAACATTTAATTTTTACCCTTAAGTTTTCAAAATATTTTAAAAACTTGAAAAAGTGCGATAACCTTGTACAAATAGCAAAACGTTCTTTCGTATTTTCATAATAATATTTATATCCTTTTAATTAATAAGGATATAATTATAAAATTCAAATATTTTTTAACAAACAAATAAATAAATAATTGTTTTTAATTTGGATGAAAAATATCTCAAACACCTTCTAAAAACTGGAGGGAAGATATTAATATGTAAGCATTTAGTATTTATTTAATAATCAGTAATTTATTCTATAATTAAAAACGAAGGGACTGTAATTTAAGTACTTATATTTTTCCCAATTGTACAAAATCTTAGGTCATATATCATTTACTCCTTCCGTTAAAAAATATAAGATATTTTTAATTAAATTTTATCTTCAATAAAATAGCTGCCTAATTTTCAGCTAACTTTATTTTTTTATATTTACTCCTATTAAACACTCTACAATAAATATAAAGTTATTATCAATAGGGATACTTTTGAAAAAAAGATAATGATTACACCTTAAAAGATTAAAAATACATTACATTTTTTAATATTCAACTTCTCAAAAAATGCATTACATTTTTAAATAGAGGAAGTATATCTTATGTGTTTATTTTTTGTATTTTATATTGACATGATATTTATTATTTATTATTTTAAATTAGAAAAAGTAAAATTTATCATGCGAATATGTGATTAACAGCACAATTTATTTGTGTTTTCTTATTTAGTTTAATTTAATATTAAGAATCGGCCGTCGGTCCACAGACTCCAGAAAATAATATTATAGCCCTCGATTTTAATTGTGTATCTTGCAAGTCCTCATTTTCCTATCTGAGGTTTCTCCTGGTCGCTGCATCTCTATCAGGTACTATATTGTCTGCGCACTTTGTGTTTGCTTTGATTGATTAGTCGAGAGATTCGGTTTTTCTTCAATTCGGTAATTTCTTTGCCCTCTGATTTCTTGTGTTTCAGGGCTTCTGACTTCTCTGATCTCGTTTGGTTGTCGAAGAATCGAGCAATTATGACTCATATCCTTTGATCTTGTAACACGCTAAAAGTTTGTCACGAGTTTTAGCTAATCCTCGGGTTGAATTTCCGTTTGGTTTCCTTGAAAATCCGAGAAAATAACTTTCTTTTTGGAATGAGGGAGTAACCCTTGTTTTTTTGGAGAGTGGTGATCTGGAAATATTGATGTCTGATTTGAAATTTCTCTTCAAGATTTTAAAAAATTCCTTGTCTTCGGCATCTCTATTTTGAGTGAAATTATATCTTCTGTTTTCAATCGGGATCTGATGGCCATGGATTTTTATCTTATCTTGTGGGCTTCGCAAGGCCACTTATATATATATATATATATATATATATTTGTTTGACTTTAACGATAGAGAACGCGGTAACCAGAGGGAGAAAGATCGTGAAAGGGCTCAGGCCAGGGCTTCCAAGGGCAAGCAGGTCAAGGGCGATGGGTTGACTCCTGAGCAACGCAGGGAAAGGTTAGTTCTTCTTTAGTATCTTGTTCTTGTACTGTGCCTAACTTTTGTTTATTCCTATCTCTTTTGGGGCCAGAGATGCAAAGGCACTACAGGAGAAAGCAGCGAAGAAAGCAGCTCAGGAAGCTGGAGGTAATAAAGCTGCTGGTGGAAGTGGTGGAGGCAAAAAATAGGCAAGGATGATTGTCTGATAGGCATGGAAGTATCTGTATTAATTGTATTCTGACTTTGGTTTTCTGTTAGTGTCATCAGCTGGTGTCGTTTGATCATAAACTAGTACTTCTTTGGGAGGGGTTGATGTTGGATGATGTGAACCTTTGCCTTTTATTTATTGGAAGACCATTCTATCTGTATTATTTTATGATGATCTTGTGGTTTACCATAAATTTCTGCCGTTAAATGGAACATATTTGTTGAGTAAAAACATTTCAACTGAAAATGTTTAATCATTAATCTGTTCAACCATTGAATACTTTAGGCTTAATATCAAGATGTGGACTATGGTTTTATTTTCTTTGATTTTGTTTTTTGCTTTGCTGGAAATTCTGCTTACTTCCTATAGATCTACATTGTGAAGCATGCTGGTTAGGGGCAGGTATTGGCATGATGAATCCTAAGTAGATTGGTTTTCAATAGAATCACTGCTGACTTCTGCCGAATCCAGCACAAGAGTACATTATGCTATTCGTATTGGTATCAGGATGTAACTTGGTTTAGTATAACACACATGCTTCACACTTGCACATGAAGCAGCAAATGATAGGGTCTCCCTGGCAATATTCTACTAGAGGCAACACAGAAACTTCAAAAGACTTCTGATATTGATAATGTGATCATGATTAATTCGTTTGACAAAAGAAAGTAGCAACATAACAACTCAAACACGCACAGAACAGACCAACAACACAAGATGACAAAGGGGGTAAACTACTGCTGGCTTTTTGAGGGGTGTGCTCTCCCAACTCTTCCTTCCCCAAAGTCGTCCTTTTTTCCCAGGGTAAGCTTCTTGTCAAGACCACCCATTCCATCTGTTGTTCATGATGAGATTCCCTTTCTGCCTAGGTAGTTCCTCCGACCCTTCATGCAAAGATCCCTTATCCCTGGACAATTGGTTAGCCCATTTATCTCAGTCCAATATCTCCTTTTTGACCTTTTTGCTGGCTGCTTTAAATCTTTCTGGCAATTGTAGCTTGTTATATAATTGTAATAAGAAGAGGAAGCTAGTTGGGTAGTTAGTAAAAAGGTAGGAATTCACGGAAGATTGACCTATTTCTGGTAAACTTGGCTTTCAAAACATAAGCCAAGATATTGATCACTGAAGTCATGTGTGAAGACTAATCATTATATCTATTGACAGAAGGCTTTAAGCTTGAAAGCCTGCTCTGCATCAAGCTAATCGATAACTGCTATAAAGAACTCCATATAATACACTAGTTATTATTACTTTTCTGATTCTTGAGTGGCTTGTCACTGCTCTAAGGAACCCTTTCTCTTTGCAGCAATCCTGTGTTTTTTTAAATGTCAATTGTCAAATTGCAAGTTGTTGGGCATAACACGCCACTGGATCAGGCCTGACCACTGATTGAGAATAAATACCATATGACATCTTTTTGATATTTTCTGTATACAGCTTCTTGAGACTGCCTTGGTTAGACTCTTGCATAGCTTAGCAGTTTGATTCAAGTCAACTGTGAAGAAGTTGTGTTAAAGTGTATTTTCTTGTCTTTAAACTATTATTTCAAGGACTAACCATTCTATGAAGGACATTATTAAAAATTGTGCAATGTTTTTTCATTAAACATCTGTTATTTCAATTAGTTAATCAGAAAATTATAAAAAAGTTTCAAAAAATTATGAACAAGTATCTTATAAAAAAAGTTAAAATATATTTATAGTCTTCTAATTTTATATAAAGTTTTAATTTGATTTTTTAATTTTGTAAAATATTTTTTTAATCTTTTAATTTTAACATGGTTAGTTTTAAATAATTATTTTTCTTGTGTCAATTATTGTTATTTTGAAAAAAAAAATGAACTTAATATATTAATATTTGAAAATGTCTTGTTAATATTTTAAAGTTTGATATAAAATTTATTAGGATAAAATTAACAGTGTTAGGATTAAATAATTAAAAAGATATTTTATAAAGTTGAGGGGTTAAGGTATTAAATATATATTTTAACTTATAAAAAAAAATAGGGTAAATGAACAAATTATTCTCTTTGAACTTTAAGTCGCGTTGAGACTTTAAACTTGTTTATTATGAAAATTATATTTTTATCTTTTGAAATCAATATAATTTAGTTCCTGCAATTAATAAAGTAAATTTTAATATTTAGTTAATTAAAAAATGACATTAAAAATTTTAAAAAATCCAAAAAAATTATAATAAGCAAATTAAAAAATTACAGATCGGATCACAAAAAGACTTGAATTACTAAACATGAAAACAAAAATATAAGGATGAAAGAAAAGAGGTAAAACATGGAACAAGGATAAAAAATTGGATCAAACAGGATTGGACTTGTCGAACTGTCAATCAATCAAGTTGAGAAAATTGTTTGGAGAGTTGGGTTGGGTTGAGCCGCTTCGGATTAAAAATTAGGATTAAGCCAAAAATTGAGTCCTATTTTCAAAAATCAGATTGTTCAAAAAATATTATTTTTTCTTTTTCTTATCAATTTTTTTAGAAAATGATCAATTTTTTTAATCACTTAATATTGTATTATATCATATAGCTTATTAAATTATAATAAACTTAAAATATTTAGTTTTATTTTTAAGTTAAGTAATAATTTTATATTTATTTCTTATATTTAAATTATTAAATATATATAATTTTTTTAATTTAATTATTATATTATCGTTTTTATCATTGGTTCAACTTAATTGAATTATGTGAATCATAAACTGTTGATATTTTTAATTTAATATTTGATTTGATTTTAAAAATATTGATATGGAAGGATAAAAATTTTCCTCAATTTTTTTTTCATTAAATATTTGGAAGCTAATAGATATCTCATTTCAATAGTACATATCTTCTCTCTCCTGGTGCGGTCCATGAGCGGTGCAGAATCAATGGCTTTGATCTCCAGCACCACCCTTCCATTTCCAACCGCCATAAGCCGGCGACAGCCAGCTAATAAATCGGGAGTCGTTCGGGCAGATTCCGAACCCGACCCGAATTACCCTTCGACTTCATCTCCTTCCTCTGATGATGCTGTAGAGAAGTCATCGGGCACGATGATAGTCACTGATGGGCGTGCAAGGAGAATGGCCATGGAAGTTCAGCAGCTGAAGGAGAAGGAATCGCGGGAGAGAAAAGAACAGGTGAACCGGAAGATAGCATCGAAGAAAGCCATATCGGTGATACTCCGGAGGGAGGCCACCAAGGCCATTATTGAGAAGAAGAGGGGTCCCACCAACTCCAAGAAGCTGCTTCCGAGGACCGTGCTAGAAGCACTTCATGAAAGAATCACGGCTTTGCGGTGGGAGTCTGCTCTCAAGGTCAGTCTCTTTGCTTTTGAGCTCAATTGAGTTCATTATCTGAAAATGGGATGGAAATTATCTAGTTAAAATCCAATGGCGTACTGTTCAATTGTCTTAAAATGTGGTTAAAAATGGATTATCAAAAAGTATCGTGGTATGAATGGCGGTTATCATGGATTATTGATTATTTTTGAATCAGATTGCGGGCTCTGTGGACTCTCTTGTATGTTGATGTGGAAAATGGTTTCAATGTTTATGCATGAGCATGCATGATGAAGTTTTTCTTTACAAATTGGGAAACGGAATCAGAGGGAAAGAAACTTTTACTCTATTAGTAGAGAAACATAGCCCATGTGTAGTATAATGCTCGATTTTTTACCTACACAAATTTATTCGGTTCAATTGGCTTTGTGCATAAATCATTGCAACCAAAGTTCCCATTGCAACTTGGGAAGTCATAAGGAGCAGAGAAAATGAGACCTGTGAATTGTCTATCGATGACTTTTGGTGACATTCACTATATAGGGAGTTGTGTTGTTGGCTGCCTTTAAGAGCTACCCAAGAAATGGAAACCAGTTGAAAGAGGTTGATGTGTTACTCATAGAGGGAGGTCGAAGGTTTTCCAGCATTAATTAAGTCTTAAAATATATAAGTTTGGTCCTTGCTTTTTCTCTTCAACAATCTAACTTTTGGTCTCAAATAATCCATTTCAAGAAGAGGAAAGTAAAAATACAACATAGAGAAAAAGAAAAAGGAAAATCTTATTTTCTTCCCTTTGATAAGTTGAATTTTTCACTTAGTCGTGCAAGTCTATTTACTTTCTAATTCCTCATTCAGAATGCTTTCAATGTCACCCATATCCCATCTCCATCGACAAATTAATGAAGCTGACAGATTACTGAGGTAACCAGTTGATTCACATCTAACTTCCTCGGTCTACAGTAGGTAACACAGTGCATCAGATTAGGATGGATGAGTGAACTTTAGGGATGTAGTGCTTCTGAATTTTATAAACTTTCTTAATTGGGGTTTCTTATTTAATGCGGACTAAAGTGTATATCAAGCAAGTTAATTGGTGCCAGTCAACATTCTGACATTCTGTTGGGTTCTTTGTTAATTTATAGACAGAGGTAGGATGAAATGGCATCATTAAAGCATTTTAATGAATAAGGGATTAAATTGAAAGAAAACATTTGTGGAGGATGAATTGAAAATGCGCCTATCTGTCATGAAAATAGGATTTTTCATTTTCTTTTTAAAAATCTTAATTGGGGAATAAATCCCAATACATTTGCTGACATATACTTTTGTAATGGCCTGTGCATCTGTATATGTCACCATTTGCTTTTTCTTGAATTTGTCATGAAAATAGGATTTTTCATTTTCTTTTTAGAAATCTTAATTGGGGAATAAATCCAAATACTTTTGCCGACATATAAGTCTGTAATGGCCTGTGCATCTGTATATGTCACCTTTTGCTTTTTCTTGAATTTCTCTCTTACGGAAGAGAAACTGAGTTTTCAATATTAATGAATGCTCTCATGGTTTCAGGTTTTTGAATTATTGCGTGAACAGCTCTGGTACAGACCTAACTCTGGCATTTATATCAAGTTAATAGTCATGCTTGGAAAATGCAAGCAACCTGAGAAAGCCCATGAGCTCTTTCAAGCTATGGTTGACGAGGGTTGTTATTTGTCCTGTGAAGCATACACTGCGTTGTTATCTGCCTATAGCAGAAGTGGTCTCTTGGACAGAGCATTCTATATTCTTGAGGAGATGAAGACTATTCCTGATTGTCAGCCGGATGTCCAGACTTATTCAATCCTCATTAAATCATGTCTGCACATTTTTGCCTTTGACAAAGTTCACCATCTTCTATCTGATATGGCCATTCAGGGAATCAAACCCAACACAGTTACTTATAATACCCTAATTGATGCTTATGGGAAGGCAAAAAAGTAATTGTCCACCTGTGTCCCCCTTCTTAATTGGAAAAAAAAAAAAAATTGCATGCTGAGTCTGGTTGCTGAAAAAATTTGAAATGTGAGTCTGTTGACTGCTACTTTGCCTTCATACTCTAGACATTAATAGCAAGCAAGAGGGAGGGGCTAGGAAATGTTTATAGACATCACTATATGATAATGTCCCTTTGAAAAGCTGGGCAAAGATAAACAGACAAATTGCGACCATAATTAATATGGTGAAATTAATGAGTACTTCTTCAGAGGGCATTGCTATGGCTGCAGTTAGGCACTTTCATTTTGTTATCCATTCTTGCACTCCATTGCCCTTTCTTCGCTTTCTGCTAAAATTTAGTTGAGAAGCTGTTCGCTTTCAGTCACTTAGTTTTTTTTTTTTTAATTATTTTTTTGATGTTTAGCAACCAGATAGCAGCATGATATAATCGCATTTTTCCACTCATTAATCTTGTTTTCCTCTTTTTTTTTTTTAAAGGTTTGCAGAGATGGAATCCATACTCGTGGAAATGCTTGCTGACTCGGATTGTGAACCTGATGTATGGACCATGAATTCAACTCTAAGAGCCTTTGGCAGCATAGGGCAAATAGAAACAATGGAGAGATGTTATGAGAAGTTTCAGAATGCTGGATTGCAGCCTACTGTTCAGACTTTCAATATCCTCCTAGACTCCTATGGCAAGGCTGAGGATTACCAGAAAATGAGTGCTGTGATGGAGTACATGCAGAAATACCATTATTCCTGGACAATTGTGACCTACAATATCGTGATTGTTGCTTTTGGCAGGGCTGGGGATCTGAAACAGATGGAGTATTTATTTAGACTAATGAGATCAGAGAGGATAAAGCCAAGCTGTGTCACACTTTGCTCGCTTGTGAAGGCTTATGCACAAGCAGGTAAACCTGAAAAAATTGGCGGTGTCCTGCGTTTTATAGAGAACTCTGATGTAACACTTGACATTATATTCTTCAATTGTTTGGTGGATGCTTATGGGAAGTTAGGGTTTTTTTGGAGATGAAGGGAGTGCTTGATATGATGGAACAGAGAAGTATTAAACCTGATGTAATTACATATAGAACTATGATTAAAGCTTATTCAGCTAAGGGCATGAATAGTCATGTGAACGAGCTCAGAGAGCTCGTTAGGACAGCACGGAGGCCTCCTTTCAAAAGAGACAAGCCTGACTTTTAATGAGAAGGATTTCTGATTTTTTTCCCCTCCCATATCTGTGCAGTTATTTCTCCCTTCACTCAAGGTACCAAAAATTGGATCCATTATTGAATAGATCAAAACATTGGTGCAAAGCTTAATGATTAAAGCTACATTCAAATCATGGTTAGACTAGTAATGAATAAAGCATTTTATTGAATAGGCTTAGACATGATTCAATAGTTTACCGATTTTATTGGTGGGGTTCACTTGAATTTTAATTCAATGCTTTGTATTATTTCTTTTTGTTACTTTTTTTGTAGAAAAAAAATTGTGGGTTATTATATCTATACCAGCCTTGGACTTTCGTCTAGTTCCTTTGATACTCCTCCACAAAATTACTTTTCTTCACTTTTATTTTCCTTCGCGTTTCGACACGTTTAGAACATCAAACGGCTTTTAGATCATCATTTAACAAATGAATGTATGCCTATGCTATAAAAAAAAATCCATGTAGTTTTTTTTTTTTTTTTACCTATGTACCATATATGTGTAATGTTATATGCGGGAAAGTTTTTCAGGTTATTTATTTTATCAAAATCTTCAATTAAAATATAAGATAAATATTTTTGACAATTAATCACAATTCCCTTGGCACTTTCCTGGCTTTTAATTAGTAAATAATCTGAATATAAGTAATAAAAAACAGATTTCAGATTATTTTAAAAAATTATTTTAAGTAACTTCTAAAAATAATCTAATATGATATATGAACTAGAAAGTTTTGAAAAGGCAAGATATGCAGAAATATCATTAAATTTAAAATAATTAAATAATAAATTATTTTTATAAAATAAAAATTAAAAAATATCATAAAATTAAAAATAACTAACTAATAATCACTCTTTTATTATTGTAACTAAATATAAAACAATTTTTACTTTTTATAAAATTTCTACAAAATAAATCTCTTTTTATAAAAGAAAAAACAAAATTATTGATCCCTATAGTTTTTATTTTTAGTCTTTGTAGTTTTTTCAATATTTTTAATTCTTATAATTTCAGAAGAATTGAGTGACATTTGGCATTCTGATCCCTATGGCTTCAGTGTTTTTAGTCTTTATAAAGACTAAAATACTAAAAAAAATAATCTTCATTATGCTGAAAATAATAAAACTATAGAGATCAATAATTATATTTCTCTTTTGTAAAATATTTAAATTATCTAAAAATCATTTATTTTTTAATTTTAAACAAATGAGCCATAAATCACATATGGTTCTTGAAGTTTTATAGAATTAATCCATGCACATCAACATGGTTTCATCTATTTTAAATTTTAGTGCTCAAAATTTGATATTTTTTCAAAATCCATATATAAATATTCATTTTTTTTGCCAGCATACATAAATATCATTTAAGTACATCAAAAATTATAGAAAAATTTATATATTTAAATGGTTTATTTTTAATTAAATCAAGACATGTAAATTCTTTATATTTTATTTTTTTTAACAAACTCTTATTACTACTACTATCATTATTAACACATTAAAATTCACTTATTTTGATTTGATTAGATAAAATATATAAAATTAAATATTTAAGTTTTTCTCTAGAAATATTCGCTGAAATTTAGTTTAAAGCTTAAAACAAACTCATAAAGAGAAAAGGCATGTTTGGCCAAAAAAGAAAGAGACAAAACATGGTTTACTTTTTGTAGTGGCTCAATCGGTATACTGATGTGAAGTTATTTTGCTTATTGGAAATATTTCTTTTTTCAAAAAGAAACCTTTTTATGATCATCTATTAAAGCACTTTAAAATTGTTGTTTCAATGGAAAGTAAATTCTGGTATATACATACTTCTTTTATATACAATCCATAAAAACTTTTTACAATGACTTCAAGTAACAGGAGATAATGTTTTAAACAAATTATATTTTTTATGCATTTATGTATATATATTAAAAATTAAAAATGCAACGAAAAATATAATTGAGTGAATGTTCGCATTCTATATCCTCATTATCTTCGCCCCCCCCCCTCATCACTTTCTGAACAAGTCGTATATATTATTTTTATAAATTTAGATGATCCAGTCATAATCAACATTTCAAGTTTTATCAATAGTTAAAAATTATACTTGCATTAATAATTTAATATAAGATTTATGCTGATACAAACAATCTTATCCATATGAAAAGAGTTGCTGCCCCACCACCTAACCTCATGCCGGTGCAACAATACAATTAAATGAAGGATTTGGTTATCCTGAATTATCAAATGTATGTTTTAATCCCAAGAATCAAATCCATAATTTCAATAAAAATCCTATATTACTTCTCAGGGAATAAAAGATAAAATGAAAAAGTGTACCTAAATCAGTAAATTTTGGCTTGCCTGAAACTATTTTTATTTTATTATTATAAAAATTGATGTTTTATAAAATATATTTTGAGAATAAAAAAAATAATAAAAACATGTGTTTTTTGCACTCTCCCTTATTCTTTAAAATAATAATTTCAGAACATTTAAAAGATATACTTTCCTATTCCTCAAAATAATATTTGATTTTTACCCAAAAGTCTTTTTAAAAATATGTTATTAAATATATTTTTTTGTTTTAAAAATTATAAAACTGTTCTCAAAATAAATTTTTAAATAAGACAATTATTATTCGGAATCACCAAATGTTCTTTAAGAATTGAAATATAATAAAGTGCAGTCAACATAAAAGCTATAATAATTATAAAGTAATTTTTTTTATATGGTTATAAAATTGAGCCAAGCTCAAATACTGTTAATTCCAATTGGAAGTAAATTTCTTGGAGGCCATTTTTGCATTTACATTAATTCCAAGTATAGATTATAACCTTTGATTCAAGTGACGTGATGAAAATCCATAGAATACCATCCACTCAATTATTTTTCATTCATTTTTTTATAAATATAAAAATAATAAATAATTCTATCTGTTTAGATCTACTAGCTAGATCTGTTAAGACAAGCGGGAATTTTTTTTTTTTTTTGCCCAAAAATGACTTCATTACCCCAAAGCAGCGCGGATTCATATCTTATAAAATTGGAAAAAAGTACTATAATTAAATAATTAAAATATAAAATGTGATAATAATTTAATTTAAATATATTTTAAATTTTAAATATATTTCTTCTGTTAAAAAATATAAGGCATTTTTAATCTTTTAAGGTGTAATCATTACTTTTTTCTAAAAGTGCCTCTGTTAATAATGATTTTATATTTATTGTAGAGTGTTTAATAGGGGTAAATATAAAAAGATAGGGTTAGTTAAAAAGTAGGTAACACTTTATTAGGGGTGAGATTATATTAAAAATGTCTTACATTTTTGAATGAAGGGAGTAACTTATTTTTGGTATTTTTTTATTTTTTTATTGATATTAGTTTTTTGTTTTTTTGAATTTTATTTTTTCTTGAATTGAAGCTTACTGCTCATATGAACTAGGTTCTCTGTAGTATATATCCATTTTGCTCAATAAATTTATGAGTGGATTAACATAATTTTATAAGTTAGAAACATAAAAAAGTTAAATTCAAAAAGTCAACTCATGAGTTTAATTGAATTTTATTTGATATGAGTTAACATAATTTTATAGTCTAGAGACATAAAAATAATAAATTTAAAAAGTCAATTCGAGAATTTGGCAACAATGATTATATTCATGAAGCCAATTAGTGTATATGTGTGATATTTGGCAGCAAAAGGAAAAAAAAAAGAAAAAATAATTTCAAAACCAAAAATTGACTTGGTATTCATTACACACACATGTGTACTACATTATGCAACACTGTCTAGTGTCAATTAAGCACTTCGATGCAATCTTACCAACCCCAATAATAGCATCAAATGGGATACTAAGTTACCCTTTTGAAAAATAATTTTGTACTACTGTCTTTAGAAAAAACAGGATCCAGACCAGTCAGATTGTTATATTAAAAAATAATTTTATACCTGGTCATTGCCAAAAACTAATTATAATAGTAAACTATTTTACAACCATAAAATCTAACAAAAACAACCATAACTCATTTTGTAATAACTAACAATATTGGGTCAGACATTTACATGAAATAAGAACACTGTTTATGATTATCATTTGTAAACTATGCAAATTTACAAGGATGATGATGATGATAAATTGATTGAAATTTATTTTGTAACTCATGAATAAAAAATAATAAAATTAGCATAATTATTGTTATTATTATTAAAAAAAAAGCCCAAAATGGACGTTCTATTTCTCAAAGGCCTCCTCTTCGTCGTCGTCTCCATGCCCAGCCCACTAGTACTCGCAGGGGTCGCATAGTCCCTCTCCTCTCGCACGAAGAAGAAGCAACTTGCAGATTTAGAGAAAGAAACAAAAGCTGAAGCATCAAATTGGCGTTGTTGGATTTCACACGGACACTGAAATACGCTTTCATGGTTGACATTTGCTGTTGAATGTTAGGTTTTTAGGGCTAATTCGTGCTCGTTCCCTTCCACATAAAGGCCCCTCTTCCAAAACCCTAGGAAACAGGAAGTTGAACGTGGCAAGGCCTCAAGGTGTTTCAACTTGTGCCCTAGCTCAAAAATTCGTGCTTCTCGCGTAAAATAAGGTGTTTTTCCTCTCTTAATTGTCATTGTTTGGGCACTAGTCTGTGTAGCTGGAAACCCTAGAATCATGCAAACTGGGAAATTCGTGGAAATGGGCGTCCTTAGGGTCTTTAATTTGAGGGATGAATTTTTCTTAATTGTTTTTCGTTGGGGCTGTCTTATGCATTGTCATGAAATGCCGTCAGGTTTATGCCTGAGCTTGTGTCTGTTGGGTTGAGTGAAATTGGTGTCTCATTTATGTCTGGGATTTTGCCTGCCCATATTGGGCAACGAGGAAGAATGCATTTCTTAGAGCGGTAAGCAACTAATGTGAATAATAAATTTACCGTTCGTGATGCCAGCTCAAAATTTTGAAGGTAATCATTGGCGCCAACCTCCATGTATGCAATAGCCGAGACAACATACGTATAAATAAGTAATAGTGACGAGTATTTTGGTTGCTATTTACGTCGTATTTTATCTTTGCTGTGCATTCACATCATTCGATACTGTTATGGTCATGCGTCTTTAAGCCTGCAACCTCTATGGGTTATGCATTTACGTGCATGTGCAAATAACTCAAACCACGTCGCTTCCTGTCTTCAAAGTGGAACAATTTTTTTTTTTTTTTTACATTTCTTCTAGTCTTTAGGACTGCATGTAACCATATCCGCTAGCTTGTTTTAAGAGTGTACGTGCTTTTATTTCATCCATTTCCAGAAACTTATTATTTTGTATTATATAGAATCTTATTGTTTTGATGAAAAGACGAGAACCCTTTTCTCGGTGAATTTTGAATAGTCAACATCAATTTTCATTTCTACGTGCGTACAGTATCACAGCATATAGGAAGACAATATCTACTTGGCCAGAACCCTTTGATTGGTGAATTTTAAATCATTTTTTTTCTACTTATGTTACAGTGTTGCAGCCTGTAGAAAGATCATATCTACTTGGTTTTTTCTCTGTGGAATATTTCTCAACCGTTCATCAAGTGAAAGAAAATATTGTCTTGAATTGCTGAAGGAAGGCCTGATTGATTACTTATTTATGCAAGGCTTATGAAGAAACAAAGTTATATACAAGCAGCTAGTTGGTTTCAGACCTAAGTACCATCATCACAAGTGAGCTAAAACCTGCTTCAGTGTTATCAGCTTAGTTCTTGGTGATGCCTCTATTCAATTGATTGCTCCTAACCATTAGCTAGAATTTTGAATTACCTAGGTAGTCAAAGGTTGCTCACTTCATGCCTGAGGCACAAAGGCAAGGTACTAGGACTTGGGAGGCCACAATGCCTCTAGCTGGCTGAGGCAGGGGCCTTCCATCCAGGTGCTTGCATGTCAGTGTCTTGTACCTTTGTGGTGGATGCAACAGCTTGCATCAGGTGCAAACTATAAAAGCTAACCTGATAACTCAAAACCATCACATCACATTAAGTATCTTAAATCTCAAAATAAGATAATTTAAACATAAGGAAAGCCATAAAGCACAGCCCAGTAACTCTATTGAGCCGCAATGTGCTTCTAAGCTATTTTGTTTTACTTTATCACTCTGTTATGCTTTCAGAATTCAGTCAAACTGGTAGATATTTATAATTCAGACAGGAGAGAGAAAGAGAGGGGAAGAGAGAGAAGGGAGATTGATGGAGAGAAGAATAGAAAGGGGAACAGAGAGAAAATCGCAACAGAGGTGCGCTGAATACTTAACTGAATTATTCCAAATCATAATCTGAATACAAGGCTCAACATCCAACCTACTCCAATAGTCATTTTCTAACTGACTTTTATTACTTCTATTCCCATCACTTCTGTAGTTACAATTATACAAAAAATCCTTCTCTCTTTCAAACTTCTCAGGCCTGTAGCTTTTTTAATTTGCTTATTATGCTTATAAGTCTTCATATTTATTTCCTATTTATGTAGTACATTTTCAGCCTCTTATTTTACTGTCTTGCTTCACTTGGGTAAACACTTATCTATTGCCTCAAGGAATTAGGAGAACCCCACGTTTTTAAGTGTGTCTCTAATGTTTGCGTTACTGATCTTTAAAAGTTCATCCTTCATGCCCTCCTGCACATTTTCATTATATGATTTAATAATAAAACGAGGAAAAGAAAGAGTTCATGTTAGAGGCCACTTTTGTGTTGAAATTTGCAATTTGTGATCTGTGTCAGTGGTGCTGCTTTTCTCTTCTTTCCTTATAAATGATATCTGCAGGACCCATATCTTCTTCACTCTTCCGCCCTTCTTATTTAGCTCATGACTGCATAGGGAACATTGCAACCTTCTTTATCTGCTAAGCAGTACTTCATTCAACATACTTCAATAAACAGGCCCCTGCAAATAGTCGTTTTATGTGTGTGTGTGAGGGGGAGAGCGAGGGCAGAAGATTGATTTAAGCCTTGAGGAAAATGTTCCTGTTTGGACATTTCTGATTTATTGCTTCTTGATGCCTGTAAGATTTTGGTTGTCAACAATGTTCACATTCTGTCCGGCTTAGTTCTTTTTTCTCTTGTTTTTAATATTACATAATGTTCTATTTGTAAATTTTGGTGCTTCTATGTAGTTCCCCCCATCTGATTTGCCCTCTTGCCTTAATGAATTTGGCAGATGTTTTAATAGATGGGAGGTGAAGCTCTTAGACATTAGGAGTGGGAATGCATGGATGTAATTCTGGATCGGCTCTCCTTGTAAATGCTGAGGTTGATTCCATGGGAGGAGTTATTGACGGCGGAGTTGGCATAGGGTTGAAAACCTCTCCCCGCCGAGCAGCCATTGAGAAGGCTCAGGCAGAGCTCAGGTGATGAGAGGTTCATTTATGCACTTCAGTTCTGTTTTTTTGTCTTGTTTTCTTGAGCACCAATGTGATATTTTTATGTTATACACTAAGAATAACCTATTGGATGTCGATAACAGACAGGAGTATGATGTTCGTGAGGAAAGAAAAAGGGAGCTAGAATTTCTTGAAAAAGTAGGTGGTTTTAATCATTTGCACACTGTATTTTCTGATAGTTGTATGCAAATGGTGATTACCTTTTATGCTTTGTAAGTGTAGGGTGGGAATCCTCTGGACTTCAAGTTTGGGAATGCTGCTTCAGCTAGTGTCCAATCTACTTCACTCACTGATCAACACCATGAGCAGTTTGTGACCAGGTTGGTAATGATTTTTCCTCTTGTTTTTCCTGGATCCTTTTTACTCTTGCCAGTATCTTCTGCTTTTTAATGAATATCTTTTACATTCAATTTTCTTAATTCTTAATAACATTTCATTGTTTCTTTCTCTTGACTTTTCTATCTTCTTGTGATCTCAGTGAAGCAAAAGGTAGTTTTGCTTTGACGGCGTCCCCTCATGGTGACTCTGTTGACAGTAGTGCTAGACCAGGTGCTCCTTCAGTTAGTGAACCTAATACTGCTGATGATATCTTAGTTTTGGGTATTGATAATGAGTTACCTAAGGGTGAAAGGAGGTCTGTACATCAAAGTAGAAGGAACAATGTTGCTCCATCTGAGCAGTCTTCCAAAATTGATGGGAGTCAAAATGCTAAGGACTCAGAAGATTCTGCCATTTTCCGCCCATATGCTCGAAGAAATAGGTCCAGAACAAATCATGGTCCTCGGGGCAGTTCAAGGGATGGGAAGGGGTTGGTATCTGAAACAGGCAACTTGAAGGACCATAATTTGCCTGCTGTTTCTAAGCCAAAGCCCCCAAATATAAATGGCGAGGTAGTTACTAAAGATATCATTTCTGTCAATCCTTTGGTTAGCAAATTGGATGGTGTCCGAGCTGATCAAACAACTAGTGGCAATAGCATTCCTGAAGTTAAATTGGATATCACTGTCAAAATAAACTGTAAGGAAGATCGGTGTACTCTGCCTTCTCATGATGATACTGTACAAAACCCAGTCGTCATGGCTTCTGGGGAGGCTGATGCAGTTGAAGAAAGGGAACCGTTAACTTCTGCTGATCTGGAGCCTCTGCCTAAAGCTATGAAACCAGAAAATGAATCCTGTTCTGGCCAGCAAAATGAAATTGCCGGCATAAAAGCAGATAACAAGGGCATAGTGAATGAAGAACAAAATGGTGATGCTGCCTTAGGTGGGGTGATTTTCAATTCAGGGTCTTCTTGTGCCCAAACTAGTGTAGGTAGAGATGTTAACAATGATAGTGACATGTGTAACAATGCAAAAAATGTTAATGGCAATGGAAGTGCTGTGGGAAAGATGCCAGAATTTGATAAGAAACTAAATTTAACTGGTTGTGAAGTAAAAGAAAGGATTAAGACCAATGCTAGTGAAGGTGGGGCTACTGATAACAATGGGAATGATGATGGTTGCGGAAACCATTATGGTAGTGGTAATATGGTCAAAGCTGAGGAAGATGTTTGCGTTAACAGCTCTTCCATGCAAAACAAGTCAAGTGATTTTTCCAATATCAAGGGACAAAATGACAGTACTGTATCAAAAACTGATAAAGAGTTTAATGATGTCTTGGTGGATCATTCCAACCCTGTCAAGGGCAGCAGCTCTGGAAGACACCACCAGGAGCCAATGGATGTGTCAAATCGTGAGCTTCCTCAGGCAGTTCTGGCAGAAAAGGTTCCTACTACTGCCCCTGACCTTCAGCCATGTTCCAATCACCATTTATTGGCAGATAGGGCACGTGAAGATTCTATTTTGGAAGAGGCACGGATTATAGAGGTCCTCATTTTTTATATTCTATTTATAGTAACTCATGCCTGTTTTTGTCAACTTCTGAAACTTTTTCCTTTATCATCTGATCAATGAACTCTATAAATGTCTGCATGTATTAAACAGGCCAAGCGGAAGAGGATCACAGAATTGTCATCAATTCGCACTTTACCCACACAGAACCACCGTAAATGTCACTGGGGTTTTGTCCTTGAGGAAATGGCATGGATGGCAAATGATTATGCCCAGGTTTAAATTTCTACACTTACTAGTGATTCTCTGCTTTCCCCCTCCTCCTGTGGTAGCCTCAACCATTTATGGACTAGCAAAAATGTACAAGGCTAATCTTACTAAAATCCTGTGATTTTTTTTCCTTATAAAGAAAGGTTTTTTCTTGGCATTTCTTGCAGGAAAGACTTTGGAAGATAACTGCTGCAGCACAATTATGTCATCAAGCTGTTTTTACCTCTCGTTTAAGATTGGAAGAGAAAAATAAACATAGGGGAATTAAAGTTGTGGCTTACAACATAGCTAAGGCTGTCATGCAGTTCTGGCATTCAGCTGAGCTTCTTCTAGAAAACAGTGATGCTAGTATGAACTACACTGGTGCTTTGTCAGAATCTGTGAAAGTTGATGTGGTAGAAGCTTCTAGGAACAAGAGAAGAAATTCAGATGTGGTACTGGTTATTTCTTGGGCTCTTTCTTTTTACATATAAAACAACTTGGTCTTGAACCTTCGCTGTTGGTCCCTACTTTGGTCAGTAATGGGACATGACATCACTGTTGTGTTATTTTACTTGAAATTTGTTTATTTGAATGATACGATACAAATGACATTGCTTCTATAATGAAGTAAAAATGAATGAGATTATTATTATCATGTTATATATGTAAAGTCAAATATTTTAGAAATTAAAATTTTCTTGTCATTAACATCTGAATTTGGATATTTGAATCCATGGGCCTTGCATGGAATTGTAGTTTCAGAGCTGTCCACTAATATCAACTGATGTATAGCTTTCAATTCTTATATATTTGCCTTGCTAGTTTCGCTATGTTATGCTAATATTCTCATTTGTGCAGAAGCAGTCCTTTCCCCCCTTTTTCTTTATGCTTGTTAGATGTATTGCAGGTTCAAAAACTACTGCATACTGTGAGTGTTGATATTCGTCATAGCTATTATCTGGAAGAATTGAGACATATTAGTTATCCCCCAATCTGTTGTCTTTCTATAGTATTTATCTTCATCATGAGCTACTTGTTACTGATTCCGTAGTGTCGGTTGTTTTGTTCAGAAGACAAACAGACATTTGGACGAACAACATCCCTGGAAAAACGTGGCTAAGAATCTGCAAGCTTATGCTTTGAGATTTTTGAAGTATAGTAAGCCTTATGAAACTTCCTCTCAAGCTGAAGCACCAACAACACCTGATAGGATATCTGATTCAGGCACTCTGGGCATGCCATGGGAGGAGCATCTTACAGAAGTATGGGCCAAGCTTCCTTATATGTGCTTGGTTTGTTTTTTTTTTTTAATGTTGGCATTAGTGATTTTCTTCTTTTATCTCTCTTCTATTGCATTTTTCTGCTTTGATAATTCATTTTTATCATAACTGTCTTTGAATTCCATTGGATGGGGATGCTTTATCTATTGGGTTATTCAATGGATTGTGTGGATAATTTTTATGGTCTATTCATTGTAATGGATGTAGGCGAAATGCACCTTCACATTTCATAATTTTAACTGGCAGGAAAGTCTCTTCTATATGGTTCCTTCGACAGCAATGGAAGCATACCGAAAATCTGTTGAATCTCATTTCCTACACGTTGAGGTGAATATATTACTAAAGATCTTGTACTTGCTACCTTCCATAGATATTTCAGGAATATCATTTTGGTCTTAGGATATGTTACAAGGTCATCTGAATCTTTTATCCTTCTTTCATATCATTGAGTCAAATAAACATTGTGACTTCCTTGTGGCCATTAGTGCTAATAAATATAACTTTTTCAGAAAACTGGGAGTAGCATGCAGGAGGAAGTTGAGATATCTCTTTATGATGCTGCACCAGGTAATGTTGGATTAGTTTGCATTTTGATTTATAAGTGGACTAATGATCAATCTGGAACTTTTTACACATTTAAATTGAATTGTAGAGTTTGGATCAGAAGAGAATGCATATGATGAGGATGATGGAGAAACAAGCACTTACTACTTGCCTGGTGTCTATGAGGGTAGAAAACCAAAATCAGCTCACAAGAAGCATAGAAACATGATGAAATCTTACCCTCCAAGGTCCTGTGACTTTGGGGCTGATTTTCCCTATGGAAATTATACATCTGGATCTCAGCCATCCATGCTAATAGGAAAAAGGCCTGCTAGCTTAAATGTTGGGCCTATAACAAAACGCATGCGAACAGCTTCTAGACAGAGAGTTGTAAGTCCTTTCACAGCTGGGATCACAGGGACAGTGCAGCCTCAAGTTAAGACAGATGCTTCAAGTGGGGATACCAATTCCTTTCAAGACGACCAAAGTACTTTACACTGCGGATCTCAGATTCAGAAAAGTGTGGAGGTGGAGTCAATTGGAGAGTTTGAAAGGCAGTTACTGTATGACTGTGCTGAAATGCCTGTTAAAACAAAGAAGAAGAAGAAGGCAAAGAATCTGGTAATATCAATTTGTATATTCATGTAACTTGAAGGGATAGTTGATTTATTTACGTAGATATGTGTTCATTCATTTTGGATCTATACCTCAGCTTTAGTTGCATAGCTTTTATTTCTGCAGGGTTCTACATGTGATCAGGGATGGCAGGTGGATTCAGTTCTAAACGAACAGGTGATTTTTCTATTATCATATGATAAGGACTACAGACGCGAGTCATTCTTATCAGAATTGGTGAAAATTGAAATGACTGTCTTTAAATTTGGCAAAAGTGTGCCCTATTAAAAAGTTTGATGTTGCATCAGCATGAGGGAGAAGATTGCTTTATGCAATATCTTCTACTTGTTACATGTTGGATTCATTATGTGAAGCTAATGTTTAAAGCTTTTTAAGGTTTTAGGGAAAGGGAAGAGGAATAAGAATGGGAATGCAATGGAATTCTGTGGGCTGTGGCCCAAAATCACAATTGATTTGACAAGCAAGAAATGGGAACACTTTTTCAATTGTGCGTTTGGAAGGGTAGATATACTGCTGAAATATAAAGGAAAGCTGAGCAAATGACATGCACTGATGGGCTGAAAGAAGATATTAAAATATTTTGTTAAGATAAAAAAGAAAAGAAAAAAAATAATTGAGATTAAAGATCAATAAATCATTATTGCATCTAAGCCCTGAATATGAAATGGGTTCATTTGTCCTCCCTTCTCTTTGTTCATTAGCAGAAGCCGGAGAATGTGGAGGCTTTTGCTATGCTGTCTGAGGGGTAGCTAACGGAATTGACCTGAAAGCTTTATTGTTTTTGCTGTACCTTGAGCACAAAATGGTATTTTGTGCATCACATTCCTTTTAAAACATTGATTCCTATCCACTAATTGAATCAAAGGCATTTCAATATCTTGAGGGAGGGAGCATTCCTAATAAAAGGAATTCTATTGTATGGGAACAGCCTTTTGCTTCTTTTCCAATTCTTTCCTTCTCCTTTTCCATCGTTTTTCTTGCTGGCTGTTATGGGCTCTGTGCTAAGCAATTTGAAATTTTGAAAAGGTTAGAAAGGTTTTTGCCTCAACTGTGGAATTTAAAGTGGTGTTTAGTATCAAATGTCACTGCATAGGCTCATAAATCAACATACATCTTAAAAAAATCAAATTGCCCTGTGTATTTACTGTTAATCATCATCATTATTTAGTTAGTTTTATTTTAAATTGTGATGAAAAATATATTTATGTGGAAATATATTGAAATATCTTTTAATTCAAGTTCTATTTTGATCAGATGTTCCTATTCCATGGACATTTTCTTCTCAGAATCTTAATCTAATAGGCCCTGTTTGGTATAATGGAATTCTAAGTCTGGAAATGGAATCATAAATGGATTCTTAACGTAAGTTTGTTTGGTATTATAGATTTTGGATTCATTGGAATCCCAATTACAGTAAAATATGCAGAATCCAATTCCATCTCAGGCTCCATGGAATCCGTTCAATTCTCTGAAATTGAAATTTAAAGGCACTTCTACCATCATCACTGTCTGTCTCCTCCACCCCCATCCATCATCATTTGCTTCACCTTCAACCACTTCCAACTACTTGCCTTCAACTTCATTGTTAAACTCCAATCATCATTGCTACTTTTCTTGCCATGATGAACCAGCTAAAGGACATGTGATTTACAACAACAACAAGCCTTTATCCCACTAGGTGGGGTCGGCTACATGGATTGCAAGACGCCATTGTGCTCTATCATTTATCAAGCTTTTAGGAATATTATTAATTAAGGATCACGTTTAACAACTTCCAAGAGTGTTCTCTTAGGCCTTTCTCTACCCCTCTTAATTGGACTCAAAATTATATGTTCCACTCTTCTCACTGGTGCCTCCCTTGGTCTTCTTTGTACATGCCCAAACCATCTCAACCGATTTTCTACCATTTTTTTCTCAATAGTGCTACCCTCACTTTTTCGCGTACGTGCTCATTTCGAATTTTATCTTTACGTTACATCCGCACATCCATCGTAACATTCTCATCTCTGCTACTCCAACTTTATGCTCTTGCTGTCCCGTTAGAGCCCAGCATTCACTATTATATAACATTGCCGGTCTGATAGCAGTGCGATAAAACTTTCCTTTAAGTTTATTAGGCACCTTACGGTCGCAAAGGACATGTGATTTACGAAAACAAAAAATACAAAAGGTAAGCCTGGTGGGGTGATGGCATGGAGGTTGCCCAGCCATGGAATCAAGTTCGACAGTGCTCTTGTAGGGATTTTATGGGTTATGAATATGCGCCAAATTTTTTCTGGTTCAACCCATATTTCTAAAAGTTACAGAGATCTTCGTACGGTGACAGTGGCCAAGGGGAGAGACGAACATGAGAGAGATGATTTTTTTAAAGGGGTATTTTGGTCTTTTCATATTTTAAATACATGTATATATTAAAATTAAATCAAGATTCTATCTTCATACCAGACACACTTTTAAAATTCAATTCTATTTCAATTCCATCAAAAACCCTTCCATCATATCAAACAAGGCCTTAATTGTAGGCTAGGAATAGTTTTATGCCCCCACTTGGAAGAGTATGCCTAATGTACCGATCTTATCATTAGCTTTTATGCCTAATTGAGTTATAAATGTATGTTTGGTATGAAGATGAAATCTGAATATAATATTAATAAATATATGTATTTAAAATAGATAAAGACCAAAATGCCCTTATAAAAAAATAAAAAACTTAGCCATCATGATGGAGTGTGTATGTGGGGCACTTATGACAATTCCATGGAATTGTGGCAATTCCATCATGATGGAGATGGAATTGAATTCTAGGTATTTTGGTAGAATTGGAATCCATAAGGAATTGGATTCATGCATACCAAACAATTGAAAGCATGATTCCAATTCCAATTCCATTTCTCTTGGACCCAATTCTAATGTACCAAACATGACCTTAGATGTATTTAAATTCTGGGAAAGTATGCCTACTGTACCGATCTTATCATTAGCTTTTATGACTGCGAGATGGATATTGTTTAGCTGGGGTAAATAAGTTGGAAAAGTGAGGAATAGAGTTGATAGATTATGCTTACAATGTTATAGGCTGTTGGAAATGAGGTTTATACATTTAATGTTGGTTTTTGACTTAGAAGTGAGCAGTTTAAGAAGATCTGGATAATCTGGGTGTTGGGGGTGGGTTTGTTGTTATTCATGCTGGGTACAAATTAATAATGCATTGGCACAATTGCCTTGGGATTTTTTTTTTTGGGTGCAGGGTTAAGCTCTTATATAATAGCGAAGCCTGACAGGATTGAGTCTGGACTTGACTGTAGGCAAGTTATATTTTTTGGTCTAGCATTAGAGAGCATGGAAGAAGATTAAGCACGATCAATGATTTTATTTTAATCATATGTAGTAGGTACCTAAATATAGCTGAAAATAAGATAACTGGGTTCCCTGTGGCTTTCTTATTGTTGGTTAAATAATTGACTTTTTAACTATTTCTCGACCATGTTAACCTGAATTTTTATTGAGTTATGCTGTGGTGACTTTACAATGCAGAGGGATCATTCCAAGAAGAGATTAGACAGTCATCATTTTGATCCTAACGGAAGCAGTGGTAAGATAAGTTTCCATCTTGTTGCTGTTAGAATTTGTATAGCATTATTGGGTATCATGTGTTCTTTGAGTTTTTACACATTTAATTGTTGTATTCTGAAGGTTTGTATGCCCAACATATTGTGAAGAAGCCAAAGACAATGAAGCTGACACTTGATAATACATTTGACAACATTCCTACAATGAATGGTTCTATTCCTTCTCCAGCTACTTCGCAAATGAGTAACATGTCCAATCAAAGTAAACTCATTAAAATTCGGGATAGAGGCCGTAAGGCAAAATCACTGAAGGTAAATTTGGCATGTACTTAGATTGTCACGTGCTTGCAAATTTTAGTCATTTGACTTTGTTGATATATTTGTAATGTATCTATTATTTTTATTTATAGATACCTGCTGGACAGCCTGGTTCCGGAAGTCCTTGGTCACTTTTTGAAGACCAGGTCTTTTGTAGTTCCTAAGCCATCTTATCCCCCTCCCCTTGCGCACATCTAGAATTTTTTTTTTTAATTTCAATCATTATCATGCGCTTTTAATTTACTTTTATCTTTTCCCTGTTACAGGCCCTTGTTGTCCTGGTACACGATATGGGTCCAAACTGGGAGCTTGTTAGTGATGCTATTAATAGCACTCTTCAATTTAAGGTAATAATCCGTTTATATTCATGTGTATGGATAGATGCCAAGATTGCAGGACTCCATATTATTTGAGGAATTATCCTCTTGGGATCTGAAGAATGATGGTTAAAATGAAATGAATGTCCTAGATTTCCTTATTTTTATCATAACATAGTTTTGCTGTTTTACCTAAAGCAGTGCCCCGTAATGGTCTAGATGAAGATCTCTGAAAGAAAATGTAAATATAATCCATAACACTCGTACATCATAGGATGTCTGTCTGCATAACCTTTGGGACAAGATTTCATTAAATTCAGCACTGATTTTGATATTTTTCGTTGGATTAAAAAAAGATGTGTCATCTTTTTTTTTTAATGCTTATTTCATTCTGAAATTTCACCTGCCTCGTTTATTTCACATTTAAACTGCATTTATGATTGGGTTCCATGAAATTTGGCAACATTTTCAGTGTATCTTCCGGAAGCCAAAAGAATGCAAGGATCGTCATAAGTTCTTGATGGATAGAAGTGCTGGGGATGGTGCTGATAGTGCCGAAGATTCTGGGTCTTCCCAGTCTTATCCATCTACACTACCTGGAATTCCTAAGGCAGGGGTTTTTTGTCAAGTTTTATTTAGTGTCTCTTCCATTGATGGAAGAAGTACATGTGGTTGACACAAATGTTGTGGGTTTGGTGACTTGTATCTTTTGCAGGGTAGTGCCAGGCAGTTATTTCAACGATTGCAAGGACCCATGGAGGAGGATACCCTCAAGTCTCATTTTGAGAATATTATGAAGATTGGGCAGAAGCAATACTACCGTAGGAATCAGGTCTGGATCTGTAGATACTGTAATGAATCACATGTCGATTGACCTTGGGATTACGTTATAATAAATGCTACACATTTGAATCATTTTCCTACCTTCTAAATTCTACACATTTGAATCATTTTCCTATTCTTTTTACTTACTCTATAGTTATAAGGTTTGACAGAGGCCTATAATTAGGTTGGTAACTTTCAACAGATATAATTTGGTAAGAAGGATAGATTATGATGGAGTAGAAGATGTCTTATTGAAACGTAAAATAGGAGCACAACAGATCATAGACCATGTCAATGAAACTTTTGATGAAGCAATCTGTTTCTGTATATTTGACATGGCAACCCCCTTTGTAGGAACCTTGGGCAGAAGACTAAATGGAAGGCATGCAAACTAGCTTGTCTTGTACTATCTTAAGCTACAGAGATACATAGTATCTCTAGTAACGAAGATGCACCCAAAAAATGTTAGCAATGATCTTGTACTAAGTGCACCTTAACATGTCAAAAACTATTGCCATTAGGTTTAGGCCTCTTTTTCTGACCAAAACCATTTGAACCTTTTCAGAGGAACCCTTCCAATGCCTGAGAGTATGCCCTTTACATGCCTATGACTCCAAATATTTTATTCAAAGCCAGAGATAGAATGCCTGACGATGTAATGGTTGCAGCTAATTCTGAGCTGTCCATACACCATAATGCAAGTTTCAGAAGTTAGATATCCGCAACTTCCAACATTTTATCAGCATTAACCTTATTGAGTACTGCAGTCTAGACGAATGACTTGATGCTATTGAGTTGGGATGACAAAGGAGCGTTTGATATATTTTAACCATGTGAAAGGAGAAATCATACTGCAACTGCAACCATTTGCCTGAATAAGTAATGCAGTATCTTACACTTAGGTTGTCCTCCAAGTCTTTAGGAAATGTGATACTGGAAGATATGAGCATTTTGTGTTGGCTCTGCATCATTTATGGCTACACTTGTGGCTCAATTGAAACTATGTTATGGTTCTTTGTTTATTCAGATTATTGACCACATTGAGAAACGGTTCTTCTGCTTGGTGATTCCATAAACCTTCTTTGACTCTTGGATTACAGTCTTTTTTTCATCTTCTGATAGGAAACATAACTAGGATTATTTTATTATTATCCTAAGATGATTAGGATTTTCTGTATTTTTTAAATTAGGATATTTTATTTGATTATCTTTTATATTTAATTTAGTTTTGAATTAGGATTTATCTCATATTTGAATAAGGATGATTTTAACTCTATCTTTTAGAGGTTGAGTAGTTCATATTATTTAGGATTAGTACTAGCGATCTATAAATAGCTTTAGAGTTATTGACTTGTAGTTCTTTTTGACTTACAGAATAAATCTTGAGTTGTCCTTCAAATTTTCCCCCCCCCGTACTTTTCCCTTTCTTTCTAGTCATCCCTCCTCCCTCCTCTTTCATTTTTCCTTTCATTGTTTTACATCACTTTTTTGCTTTATGCTTGCATAATTTGGTGCCTTTGCTTTTTGTTTCTGCTTTGTCGTCTTTTGAATGAGATTTGGCTCTTCATATTCGTTGTGGCAGATTATTTAATATAGTTGATAAGTTGACAAAAAGTTGGGCTAAGTCCACTCATGAGTTTGTCACACATTTTTGTTTGTCATAACTAAGGAAGGTTAAATGACCACTGGAAAGTCTGATTGTATCGATAGAATAGTATGGTTGTGCTTGCAGTTCTGTTCACTATGTAGCATGACTGTGTTGTTTTCAAATTTTAATGAAGCTATTCTAAATTGAATTTCTTGATTTATTGCAGAATGATATCCAGGATTTGAAACAAATAGTACCTGTTCATAATTCACATGTAATTGCTCTTACCCAAGTCTGTCCAAACAACCTCAATGGAGTTCTTCTAACGTAAGTTCTTAATTTAATTTGGTTTTTGGGTGATGAATAAAAGTCTTTTTGATGCTCTTCCAAGTGGATTTAGGCTTACCTTGTTATTGTGACATTTTTTGCTCACATCTTTATTCTGTTTACTGTGAGTAGTTTGATTGTGTTTGTTTCTGGATGAAGGCCCCTTGATCTTTGTGATACAAATGCGCCAACCCCAGATGCCCTTTCCCTTGGGTACCAAGGTTCAACTGCTGGTGGTTTGGCATTATCAAATCAAGGTTCATTGCCATCAATGCACCCCACATCAGGGGCAAATTCCTCACTTCCAGGTTCTTCTGGCTTGGCACTTGGTAATAACTTGACATCACCATCTGGTCCAGTTCCTGCCTCTGTCAGGTATATGCTTAATGTGGATGGTAGATCTCTGCACAACTGTGCTATTACATACATACATTTTATAACTCTGATGGGTATGTGTGTTTTCCCAGGGATATTAGGTATGGGGTTCCGAGAACTTCACCTTTATCTGTCGATGAGCAGCAGAGAATGCAACAGTATAATCAAATGATATCTGGCAGAAATATGCAGCAGGCTAGCATGTCCGTTCCTGGATCCCTTTCTGGAAGTGATCGTGGTGTTCGTATGCTGCATGGTGGAAATGGTATGGGCATGATGTGTGGCATGAATAGAAGCATGTCCATGTCAAGGCCTGGGCTTCAAGGTATGGCACCATCATCTATGCTGAATTCTGGAAATTTGCATTCCTCTAGCATGGTGGGGATGCCGAGCCCTGTAAATATGCACTCAGGAGTTGGTACAGGACAAGGCAACTCAATGCTGAGACCTCGTGAGGCTCTACATGTGATAAGGGTGAGAAGTTCTCTTGTTCTATCATTCAAGGTTTAACTGATTCTATACACTATTTGGTTGGGATTTCCAAGTATGGATTTGAAACTTTTCACCCTCCGAGCTGTTTTTTTAGTTTTTATCAAGTCCTAAATAGCCTTGTTGGAGTTTCTTATGTGATCTGTTCCTCAGCCAATTAGTATGTTATAAGTTGATGACTGTCAGTTTTATTTTGGGAAGCCTATATTTTGATTTCATTTCATTTCTGCTGATAAATATATCCCCATTGTCATTAGCCGGGTCATAATCCAGAACATCAAAGGCAAATGATGGTTCCAGAGCTGCCGGTTCAGGTCTCCCAAGGGGCCAGCCAGGGTATCTCGGCCTTTAATGGGTTGAGTTCTGCCTTTAATAATCAGACATCTCCACCACCTGTCCAGCCATACCCAGGGCATGCTCAGCAGCCACATCAGATACCTCAGCAACAGTCTCATCTCAGCAGTTCTCATCCTCATCTTCAAGGTACAAATCATGCCACTAATCCCCAGCAGCAAGCCTTGGCACTCCGTTTGGCCAAGGAAAGGCGGCTGCAGCACCAGCAACGATATCTGCAGCAGCAACAATTTGCTTCATCAAATACACTGATGCCGCATGTTCAGGCACAGTCCCAACTTCCCGTGTCATCAGCTTCACAGAACAGTTCTCAGATTCAATCTCAAAATTCATCTCAGCAAGGAGTACCTGTCTCCCCTGTAACATCTCAGCACCAGCAGCAGAAACATCACCTGCCACAACATGGTTTCAGCAGGAATCCTGGTGCTAGTGGATTGACCAACCAAGCAGTTAAACAACGGCAACGACAGCCACAACAGCAGCAATATCAGCAGCCTGGTAGGCAGCATCCTAATCCACGGCAGCATGCAGAGTCTCAGCAACAGGCTAAACTTGTGAAGGGAATAGGAAGAGGAAATATGTTGGCTCATCAGAACATCTCTTTGGATGCTTCTCATCTAAATGGCCTCTCTATACCTCCAGGAAGTCAAAACCCTGAGAAAGGGGACCCAGTGATGCACGTAATGCAAGGACAGAACTCATATCCTGAATCTGGTTTAAGTTCAAATCAACAGTCAAAGCCATTGCCTTCTGTTCATTCTACAAACCATTCTCAGTTGCAGCAGAAGCTGCATCCTGCGGCAACAGCCACTTCATCAAAGCATGCTCAATCAATGGTATCTGCTGATAGTAGTGCTCAAGAATCATCAGGACATATTTTGTCATCACCACAACCAGCTGTTATTACTTCTAATCATCACCAGATGCAGCTACAATCTCATCCTCAGTCTAAGCAAATTAATCAAACTCAATCAAACGTGCAGAGAATGATACAGCAGAGTCGTGCAGTACATTCTGAGTTGCCAAGCAAATCTCAGTCTGATCCCACTCAAGTTGATCAGCAGCCTACTAACAGTACTTCTGAGGTTAGCATGAGCTCTGTTATGACTCAGGGTTGCATTGATTCAGCGAATGTGGTATCTGCCATTCCTACTGCATCTTCTCAGTGGAAAACATCAGAACCTCCATCTGACTCCAATATGCCCAATTCAGCCATGCAAGCAGGCTCCTTGGGAAATGCAGCTGCTGGAAATTCAGCTGTAAAAGAGCCATTGCCACAGATTAGTCAAGGAATAGGCTCAAGACAGTTGTCGGTTAATTTGCCTTCTCATTCACAGAATTCTGGGGCACATTGGCCGCAGCAGCCACTGCCGCTGCAACAGTCTTCATCACAGCCCGTCCTATCCCAACAGCCATATAAGCCACAAGAACAGCAACTGCAAAAGCAACAGGATCAAGAGAAAAATTCACCCAAACAGGTGGCTTTACAACATCAGTCTCAGCAGCAAGTGCAACCAGGACAAAGCAGTCTGTTCATCCGTCCCCCAAATTCTAGAGTGGAGTGACGCATTCTATAGCTGGAGCTGCCAAGAGTGGTTGGTTCTGTCAGGAATGGAGTCTGTATGCTCTTTTGACAGCAATGTACAGGTATTTAAATTTCTATCTTTGCTAACTTGTACAATTATATTGAGCATTGAACTACATGAATTTGTTCTTTTGGAGGGATGTGCAATGTCATTTGTTTTGGAAGCATATGAAACATTTATTGCTGAGCAAATGTCGGATAGAAATTCTGAACTTATGCTAGTGTGGATGGCAATATTTTCCATTGGTCATTGCAGTAGTTAAAAACAGTCTGACTTTGTCTATGATGGTGGCTACTGCTATAATTTTAATTTTAATATGCTACAATGGTGATTTTCATTGTGATGGCAGATTTCCATCTTTTCTGTTTTTGGATACAATGACAATTTTAACTACACCCAGGGGTTGAACCCCTGACCTCCCTGCTATGAGGGTGGATTTTATGCCATCATGACAAACGATCATTGGAAAATTTCCATCTTGCTTGAAATGAGACTGTAAAATCATTGTTGTAGGAGTATGAGTTTATGCTCTCTACTATAAAATGTTTGTTGAGACGCAGGCTGTTCAATCCTATTATTTTACTGCTGTCCTTTAATATCAGTTGAGTAGATAATGAGATTGATTAATGATGCATGTTTCATGCATGGTAACTGTTGATGGCCTTGTATAAATTAGAATTCCTAATACAATGATGGAAAGAGATTTTTATAGTGATGAAATTTAGTCTTGTTAGGTATTGCGTTGGTGGTGCTGTTATTTTTTGTTAGTTATAGCGTCAGTGCTGTTGGTGATTGTGCATAAATGTTCCTTGTTAAATGATTGTCTGTTTTTTTCCCTGCTGGAAATGTCTGTTTTGGTTTTTAATGAGAGAACCAAAAAATGTAGAATGACCCTGTTTATGTCATGGTTTTTTTTTTTTTTGCAGATGAAGTTGGTTACCCATGAGGACAACAGAAATCCATTGTTTTCTGCAGGTCCTGTTAAAAATTCACGAAACTTATATTGGCAGGCATTCCTTTAGTTTATTCTTTTTCTGCAAATCTTGTATATTACCACTGTATTTAGAGGGTTATTCCCCGACCTCCACTTTTTTTTTTTTCTTTTTCTTTTTTGGTTTCTTGGGGAAGAGACGAATATAGAGGTATATGTACAGGGCCGTCTCTTTTCCTTGTAGTTGTAACCCCTGGTTTTTTTTTCCCCTTGTTCTTCCTGCCTATGTGCAGAAGAACGTAACCCTCTTCCTTTTTTGCCCTAGTAGATTAGTGGATGTATTATTACCCTCTCAGATAAATGGGATAGCAATCATTTTTCTGGGCAAACAGCCAATTGAAAGTATTGTGAATATAAATCTCTGGTGTATGAATTGGCCAAAGCTGTCTTTTATTATCTAGCATAAAGTACATCGATCTGTACTTGGGGAATTATCAAGTAAGCTGTTTTCAGTTTCTGCAATGCAACGTATCATCAGAGCCGATCCCTGTATCATAATGGATATAAAGTGACATTTTCTTGAAACTTCAGTTTGAAATGGTTGTTATGAACAGGTTTTGAAGTGCACACCATTGTTATGGCTGGCGGGTGATTGGACTTGGTATGTGTTTTTCCACTTGGGCCTTTTTGAAGGCAACATTTAAATTTTAATTTTTCAAGTTGTTATTTTTCCTAGGTAAAGCATATGCATTCTTGTGATTATGTTCTGATGTCTGCAGTTTCGTTATAATACTGTGTCCATGTGATGACAACCTAAGTGGTTGCTCATTTTGCATCATATATTTAACTATTTTCTCAATAAACCTTAAAAAGTAAGGAAAGAGGTAAAGGGTAGAAGTGAACTTGATATATGAAATGTTTCTTTTTTTTTAGATTTGAAATTTTGAATCAATGGTTCTATTCTATAATATTGAGATATGCAAGTTCTCGTATCCAAATGTATTAATAGCATTATCTGTTGATGATTGAAAATCCTTGTCTAAGTAAGAATTAGTATGTCATGGTTCAAGTGCCACAGCATTTTCGGAATTGAATTATCTAGCTGGAGGAGTTTATGTATAATGTTCATTCCTGTTCCCATATATAATATATTGGCTTAATTTGTTTTTAATGGTTGGGTTTCTGTATTCTTGAAAGTTTGGTTAATGATAAAGTACAATGGTATTGTTTAATTCATGTAGCTGATCTCATCTAGCAGAATAAAGCTTCTTGTTGGTTGGTTGGGTTTCTATGTTTGTTTGTTTGTTGGAGAATTGGAGGGTTTGGATTTTCTTGACACGTACACTCATATTGCTGTCCTTGATTATATAATGTGTTGTTTTTGTAAACTAGAGGTGCTCGATGTCAATTCAGAATGTGTCAATGGAACTTTGTGATCTGTCGCAGGTGGGATCCTGGCTGTCTATCTAAAGTTTCTATCTTGATTCTTTTAGCCTCAGGAGTTCAGTGTTTCTGATCGTACAACTGCTGCTGAGCCAACAAGAATCTATGCGTGATTTGGTAGGAGTTTTGTCCTTAAAAGTTTTTCAAGGTCTATTTGGTTATTAAAAAAAAACAAAAGAAAAGGAATAGATTGAAAACAATAAAGGTAAAAATGAGATAATCAAAAGAAATAATGAATTACATTCATAAAGGAGGGGCTCCAGTTAATTCAATTTATAACGCTAAGAATCATGATTATAAAATTATTTATAAAATTTTTGGAGGGGGTGATGATTTTCACAGTTGTAGTATTAATAAGTTTTCATACTTATCATGAAAAAGAAGGATGATTTAATTTATTTTTGTATTGTCTATTCAATTTATTTTTTTTCTAGTAATTAGATGGGATTCAATTAAAGTAATTAATGCTTTGTATGCATGTGTTTAATTGCAGTCCGTAAAAAGGGATTGAGAAAAGGTTTCCCATATTGAGGTTTGGAGATACCCCCTGTTGGGATATTAGTTTGAAGTGCATGTGGAACCTTTCACCAAAGTTAAACTAATGTTTTTTCTTTGTCGAAATGAAGAGTTATTTGGATTCGATTTAAAGGTAGTTTTATAGGTTAAACTGTTGTTTTGCGAAGACGAAGTCACGGACCTGGGACCCTGGCTTAGGAGTGGTGAAAATTTTAAAATAAATAAATTAATGGCAATACCTATTGTCGAATTTATTTAAATATTGAAATTATGTATGTATGCACACCTTGCAATTTAGTATGATTGCAAATTTATTTAATTCATCTTAATTTATTGGTCAACATTTAATTACTAGAATTTAGTTGAATTTCTGTAATAATATCTTTTTGTTCATAATTGTTTTTTTTTCCAAAATTTAAATACTTTGCAAACTATTTATTGAAAAAAAAAAGAACTTGTTTCACCATAACACAATGCAAAATTAAAATTAAAATATTCCTCAATTCATACATCTTTTTGACAATATAATTAGAACAATGCCTTAAAAAAAACCAACCATATAATGAGCAAATAAAAATATATAAATTATCTCTTGAACTGAGTTTCTTAGAAAGACCTTGAATATGGGGCAAGTCTGAGTACTGCAGTTTTATTTTGAAAATTTGAACTAACTAATTATTAGCGAAAATATAAGTAGAACTTAACAAACTCTTTTATATATATACATACGAAATCGTAGCGCTTTGCTGGAATTTGTGTTTACATATACACAAATTGAGCATAAATTGCAATTTTCCCAATATCTTGCAATCATATCTAAAGGACGCATTAATAATCATATGACGTCATATAGTATTTATCCTCAACAAGTGGTCAGGCCAAATTAAAGGGCATTTTTTATCGAGGGAAAATGGCAATTAAAAATCTGTAAGAACATTAGTAATACTTACAAATATTAAATTATTGAAATTTTAATAAAAAATCATAATCTTTACTTATAATTAAAAAAATGTGAATATTCAATTGAAAAACTTACTAACTATATACTCAAGACTATTTATAATATTAGTTGTAAATTTATGAAAGTTAATTGAGAATCTTAATTTTTTACTGTCAATATACAAACAACCCACTTAAAAAATCAACTAAACATAATTAAAATTATTTATAACATTAATTAAGAATTTACCAGAATCAATTATAAATTACAAGTTAATTACTTATTATTTTTTGCTTTCAATATATAAATAAATCATTTAAAAAATTTACTAAATATATTTAAAATTATTTGTAACGTCAATTGAGAATTTATAAAAATTGATTGTAAATTGTAAGACAAAAAAAAAAAATCAACAAAAGAAAGTTAAAAATCTTTGTAAAATTAACTGGGAATTCATTTACCATTGTAATAAATAGAATGACGCATTACACGCACACATGGAGGAAAATGAAAGGAAGACACTAATCATATTCATTTCTTACGGTACTTTCAATAACCAAATGTGATGGGTGAAGGGAAGGCAATAGCGAAGAACAAGAACTAAATAATTTCTGCAAGGCCTATAACCTTTATTATCGTTTCTCATTAATATCTGTCCCCTTTAATATCTTTTTTATGTGAGGACATAACAGTTGTTTCCTCTCACATCATTTCCATCACATGCAAAATTTATAATCCTGTTTTTTCCAAAAAAGAAATCAAGGTCTTTCAACAGAATTTCGAAACAATGCATAAATCCTTTTCAATAAAACAGAATTCATAAATCTTAATTAGAACTGGTTTCAAAGATGCTCGCTCAAGTGATACATTTATGCTCCAGTAAGCATTCAACCTAAAGAGTGCTAACTGCCTCATCACACAATTGAAGCTACAAAGCCATTTCATTAGATAATCGTAGAACATAAAAGAGGTCAGGAGTTTGGTGGGCATTGCTGCATAAAATAGAATGATCAAACATAAGAAATTAGCCAGAAGGCTTCAAGGAGTTCCCTCAGAGAGATAATTTATAATGCAAGTAGAATTAGCATTACCAAGAATGTGGATGGCATTGTATCACATTCAACATGATAGATTGCCTCAAGGGACTGTGGAGGAGGTTGAGAAGGAACAAAGAAATTTAATTTGGGGAAACGTATAGGGAAACAGATGACATGCCATTGCTTGGGAAACAATGTGCATGGCGAATGACGTAGGTGGACTGGGTATTAAATCTCTTGAAGGAATGAATAATGCATTTATGATGAAAATGCTTTGGAGAATGAATGCAAAACCAAACGAACTGTGGGTCAGGGTGCGATGGGGGAAGCATGAGAGAGGAGTGAATGAGAGGGGCCCAATAATTAAAGCGCCACTGATTCCCGTCTATGGAAGGAGCCAGCTAAGATGTGGGACCCCTTTCATCATAATTTGTTAATGGAGATAAAAAATGGAAGAGGTACGAGGGTATGGCATGATAGGTGGTTGGGACAAGAGAATGAACTTGTTAACTGATAGATGAAGGAGCTGAGATGGAGCAAAAATTTGAGAGTGAGTGACCTTCTGACTGAAGAGCGTGCATGGAATATGGACTTAATAGCAAATCTGTTTCCTCCTAACGTTGTCAGGCAAATCAAGGCCATGGTTCCACCCGGAGAAGTTGGAGGAGAGGATTAGAATGTTCGCATGGATGGTTATACACATGAGACTTCCAACCAGAGCTACGGTAAGTAAATGGGATGGAGAAAGTGATAGCTGCCCAAGGTGTAATCAAGCTAGAGAAGACATTCTCCATGTACTTCGAGATTGCTACTTTGCTACCAGAATATGAAGTTACTGACAAAAGTGGAGAGGGAGGAGTTTTTTGGAGATGAATAGACTCAAAGCAACATGCAAAGAAGAAAATTGGTGGAGAAGAAGTTTAATTGGCCGGAAGTGTTTTGGGTCACAGCATGTTTATATCGAGATGAAGGAATAGCTATTTCACAATTACATGACCAGGATTTCAAAGATCCTTGGAATACTGTGGAAGTGATAATACAGAACCTACAGAATTATAATAGGAGAGGAGAAGAGGAGGTAGAGGTAGTTACAGAAGAGGGGAGGAAATTGTTCTGGTAAAATGGAAACCCCTAGAGTAGGTTGGCGCAAACTCAACACTGATGGAATGAAAACTCGGGATGGTCTAGCGGGCTGTGGAGGAGTCATAAGGGGAGATTGTGGTGAACGGATTAGAGCAATCACACATAAACTAGGACAGTGTGAGAGCATATTAGCAGAAGCATGAGGGGTTCTGGACGGACTTAAATTATGTTGGGAAATGGGATTTAGAAAAGTCGAAGTGGAAGGGCATGCAGCTAAGGTCATTGATCACTCCAAAATGTGTCATTGATAGAGGGGTGTCACATGATCACAGCGAGAATACAGAGGTTTCAACAGCTTGATTGGCAAATTCAGTTTATGCACATTTATTGGGAAGGCAACCGCTGTGTAGATAAACTAGCCTCAATGAGTTTAGACCAGAGGGAGACGATGACAGTATGGGAACGACCTCCTGAGGAGGTGAGAAATTTTAGAATTAGATTTAGGTGGACCTGGAGTTCCTCGTAGTGTAGCTTGTACTGTGTAATCTGGCCTTGCCCCTTGTTTCACCCCAAAAAAAAAAATATAGCATCACCTAACAAAATGCTGAGAATATGGCGAAATTTCTTTTCAGTGTGTTTTTGGTACCATAACACAAGTTCAAAGCCAGCTTATTAAGATACCAGAATATGAACTACAATAATTAGAATGAAGCATTTGAGATATAATGAAGATAGACCCAACAATTACGTTTGGCCTTTTGCCCAAGCTTACATCCAAAAAGGGATCATATCAAATTACTGCTAGCATCCAATGAACAAAGAATACATGTAGATAAACAACAGATCAAATCAAGTTCTGACAGCATTCAATGAAGTGATGAACATGGTTACATGAATCATAAAGGATTTTAGATCAATTACAAAAAAAAAAAAATCCATGGAAGACAGATTAATCTCAAATGTCTGACTACTCTAAATATTTATAAATCTACTGGACTATTTTATATTCATTTAAAAGTGCAATTAACAAGAAGGAAGATGAAGTGTTAACATATACACTTGCTGAATTTGCTCAAAAATGTTGGTTCATTTGCATTTTACTTCCATCCCTAGATAAAATCAAAAATGGAATTGTGGTATACATAAATCTCAAATTTGAAAACCAGCTTATATTCAAAGAGGAAAAAGATTCTCCTTTTGCAGCAGGACATTTGTAAAACTAAAATCCTGAAATAGAACAAGAAATTCCAATCAGGCAGGAAACAAATAACGCTGGAAAAATAAACATCTTCATAAAATATTCTATAAAAGCTGCCAGGGTTCGGTGTTAATTAATAAGATGCTTTAGTGCATGCATTATGGTGTATTAACCATAAGCCATCAATAATGCAACTCATTTCTCTTAGGCTCCATGCTCAAAATATTCATCTAATTATAACAGTAACAATTATTCAAGAATAGTGAGCATGTTATTTTATTAATATATATATATATATATATATATATAAACCCCTATAAAACGGTGGTAATGACAAGAACGAAATTTTACAGCTTAAGAAAAAAATAATAGAAAGACGCTTAAATATTTAGATTTCAGGACTTATCTTCATCCTCTTAGGGAACCCAAAAGCCTTCCCAATTGAATCAACAATTCTCTGCTGCGATTTTACAATCATCTCTATGCGCTTATTCTCCATCTCCAACCTACACCTCTCAGTTTCCTTCATCATCTCCATTTTCAAATTCTCCATCCCAATAAACCTTTCTGCAAAAGCCTTCATCTCTGCAGCCAACCCAGAAACCAATCCCATTCCTTTCACAATTCTCTCACCATTTACCTCCTCGACATTCTCTTCGACCTCTTCCTCTTCTTCCTCTTCGGCGATCCTCCGTATCCTCTTAGCTACTTGTCCTCGAGAAAATTCAGGAACTTTATACTTGTTTTCAGGTCGCTGGTTGAGAAAATAATTAGTAGTCCTTAACTGGCTATACTGCTGTCTCTCATCAATCTGCTCCTCCTCCTCCTCCTCCTCCTCATCATCATCATCAACGTCAACGTCATTTTCCTCCTCATTATCATCACAATCAAACGGCATGAATGCCACAAGGGGTTGGGCAGAAATAGGCATAGGGCCTTTCTCTAATTGGTCCATGAGGTCAAAGTATTGCCAAACGCGACCGCCACTGGAGAAAGCAGTGAGACGTTGGTTCTCGGCACGATAACGTTGACGGAGCTTTTCCATTTTGTGGCGGCACTGGACGGCGGTCTTGGAAGGCTCATTGTAGCCGCATCGGACGGCGACTGTAACGGCGACCTCTTCCCACTGGTTGGCCTTGAGAGGACCTCGCATGAGGGAATACCATTTCTCCTGGTATGCTTGGATGAGATTGATTGTTTCTTGATGGGTCCATGGAATTGATTGGGGTTTCTTGGAGGGCGAGGCGGTGTTGGTGAGTGGGGAGAAGGGTTTAGGTGAGGGAGGTGAGGCCATTGACAGGCTCTTCTTCCACGTTGGTGCTTATTTTCGTCGGCTGTTCTTTGGGATTTATTTATGTGAGGGTGGGTTAATCTAATTGAAGGGTAAGGGCTGGGTTTTGGTCGACATTCGGTTGTGGTGGTTGTAGCGGCTATGTCGGTGACGGTGGTTGTTAATTCGGCGGCGATGGCGATGGCCGACTCGGGTCGGTTGGGTGATGGGAACAGTGAGAAGGTGGGCTTAGTTGCAATTCGCAAGGATACCATCCAGTTAAGACCCCGCCACCACAATTTCCAGTCGGGGCCTGGCTGGCTTTTATAGGCTCGGCTTTTGAGGGTTAAAGTCTATAAATCCGATTATTTCAAAAATTTATTATTTTTATAAACCTGATTTTCATTCAAACGACTTCACACTAGACTGCAAGCCCCTTTTAATTTTTTTTATTTTTTTAAAAATTAAAATTTTTAATTATAATATTTCATATTTTTTAAAATACAAGTTATAATATTTAAAAATTAATATTAAATAATAAAAATTCTTGTATATTACTCCCTTCCATATTTATTATAACACATTTTTAATTGTTTTATGTATTTTTTAAAAAAATTAATTTTTTTATATAACAAAAAATTTATATATACTTTTATTTTTATCTTTAATTTTAAATAATATTACAACTACGCATTAATGCTAATTAAAAAATAAAATTAAAAATTTTGGTTTAATTATTAAAAGGTATCATTATTTTGAATTAAAAATTATTTTTAGAAAGTGTCTTGTAAATAAAATTGAAAGGAGTAAAATATAAACATATATTTTAATTTAAATTTAATTTAAAAAATTAAAATATTTTATTTTTTAGGAGTAAAAATAAACTGGCCCTAAAAATGCTATAAGTCTAAGTCTATTTTTTTAAGACCTAACAAAGTTGAGTTTTAAAGATTGATTTTCATTAAAGAAATACCACTTTTAAAAGCCCAAACCTTTAGAAAAAAAGAAGCTTAACTAGAGAGTTTGTCAAGCTCAGTCTTATTCCGGACTCTAATAAAATTAGGCAATTTGTGGAGAGAAAGTAATTTTACATACAATTATACTTATTTTGATTGTTAAATTTGAGATAATGACAAAAAAGGACCATTTGAAAATATGGAAGGAAAACATAACTATTGGTTAGTAACGTGTTTTGGTATGCATTCTATAATTTTTTCGTTACTTCAAATCTTTCTAGTTTATCATGTCTATAGTATTAGTCTCTCTCTCTCCCTCCCTCCCCCCCCCCTCTCTCTCTCTTATATGCTAGAAAGAATTATGAGTGACATTAAGGATGTTAAATATGCTGATTTGTGATTAATGTCATTAATCTTTATGACAAGATAGAATTATGATTTAATTAGTTGAAACTTGAAACAAAACAAAATAGGGTATTGTTAATTTATTGAATCACGATTCCTCTTCAACACATATTAATGGCGTTAATCATGATTAATATATTTAACACTATTAATGCCATCTCATATCATTCTTATGGACATATTCAAAAATAAAAAAACTAATGTTGCAAATGGGATAAACTAGAGGGAACAAGGATAATGAAAGAAAACTATAGAGACCTATATTAAAATTATATAACCAATATGTTTTCTTAAATATAAATGACAAATGAAAATCTCGAAAAGACATGGAAGGATCATATTAAAACAACGATTTTAAAAATTGCCCTTGTCGCCAACTGCACAATTTAGCTACTGAATGGTCGCTCATTTAAGGAATGCTTGTAAATGCAAGGAAAGTTATTTTGTAAATTAATAAAAAAGTTAATTGTAAATGGGGAAAAAAAAAGCCTCATGACTTCTTGTGAATTTAAGGATATGAATTTTAGATGGTCACTTGCAAATATATAGAAAATTAGTTATGAATGAAGAAATAGTTTCTTAGAAAATAGTTAATGGAACACCACTAATTAATTAAGAAAATCAATTATAAATTTAAGAAATATCACCTGTGAATCAATGGCAAGTCAACTATAAACTATAGTATAATGTCCCTCCCAACATTATCAAATTGTAACACACATATTGTACAAAAGCAATTAGAGATCCTTAAGTTCTCCAAGTTACCCTAACCCTAATATATCAATAATATAGAAATTAAATATTTGGAAAAAAGTTGGGATCTCAAAATTCTTTGAAAATTAGTTTAAACCATTCATAAGTAGGTATTTATGCACAACGGGAATTGCATAAACACCAATTTTGAAGAAAACAAGGCAAAATAATGATTTTAAACAAATTAGGTTGTATGCTGTGACATGTAGTATAAAAACACAAGTGTATGCTCTGTGCCATACACCTTGGCACACAAGATAGAATTCACTAGCATGACAGCTCGACATATGTAAGCTTTTGGTGTACACTATTTCCATATATAATATTTGATTATAGTGATTCAAGCACCTATATAAAACTTGTTTTAAAATCTAATTAATGGCACATGTTTTATTCCTTTTTTGTAAAAAAAATAGACATTCGAATGCAAAATGATTGTTTTATAGTATTTTCACTCATTTGGGTGTCTCAAAACTAAACCGTATATCATTGGCCACTTTTAAAGCCTTGACCATATATGGTGGGATATTTGACACCTAATTAAACAATCATATATCAAAATCACAAACATACATCATTTTGGCCACTGAATTGCTCATTATCACACAAAATAGGGCCGTTTTCACACACACACACATGCTCTTGGCCAAATTTCACACAGTCATCATTTTCAAATATGCAAACATGCACTTGAAATAATAACTTAATCCTCTTTAACAAAATTCATCACATCTCACATATTTAACATTCCAGGGCTAAGTTACACATACAATTACCTAAGTGCATCAAACATCATATAGAAATGCAATCCTGCATCAACTTATATATATAACAATATTTGAAAAAATTCAAACTCATTATACCAACTTAGATGGGCTATCAATAGTCCCACCACTCTTAGCTTTGGTCTTTTTCTCTGCTACCTCAATGTCAGAACCTATAAAATGATAACCATAGGTGAGATAAACATTTTGGTAATAAAAATAATTCATCATTATCTATCAACAGAAATAACTATAAACAAGTAAACAAAAAACTTGCATTAGTTTCACAAATACTATATATATATATATATATATATATTTTCAAAACCATTCACATACTCACATGATCATCTATTCACCAAACCTCCATGCTCCCCAACTGAACCCATATGGTCAACTAGACTAATCCTATATACATTGATCAAAGCACACCTTCAGTAGTAGAAATACCCAACCGAAAATATTCTATTTCACTTCTAGATTATAGATTCCCCTTGTCATACACTCACACGAGATAGGGATGTTATTGACTTCTAACCTCACCTTCATGGGCATTAGGAAGTTACCAAACTGCTTGAATTGTCATATGGGAACAGTCTTAAATATTTGTTACACCAGATTGCCTCATGGCGTTAGCTCAACCATATAATTTTTTTTCAAACATCTCCACTTAACTCAAGGTGAACTCACACACCCTAACATGATCATGCCTCTTTTCACATGTAATACCATATTTCAATTAGACATACATACATACATATGTACATACATAATAATTACTTTTAAAACCAAATTCGCAATTAATCTAGTTTATAAATATGTGCACGTGTGCGTGTATATCATAATTACTTTTAAAACCAATTTCGTAATTAATGTAGTTTATAAATCAAATCTTTTCTATGTCAAAACATGCAAACACATGCAATCTCGAAACATGTCAATAATTTAAAACATGTATCACATTTTTGTACGTACTTATAAACAATTAAGCCAATTAATAAATATAATGAATTATTTGATTACCTCAACCTTTTTATTTTTAGAAAGGTTACCCATGGTACTTCTCAAATTCTTATCTTCCACTTGGTAAGTTAATGTGTTAGTCTCATGAATCTACACAATTTAGTATTATAAGTTAATTATCAAATTGATAAAAGCACTAATTACCATAATAAATAATAATTAACCACCTAACCACTCCCATATAACCATATTAGGTTTTAATTATTCTCTTTAAGCATTTTACCACTTCTATTAGCTCAAACATAACCCACACTAACATCTTCACTCTTTAAAACTTCACAATTCAGGCAAAATCAAGTTTACAGCCTCAAAGCTTAGTCATTAATTTCCTAGCCAATCACAAAATCTTAATTTAACTCTTAAGAGTCTTTTTATTACTAAAGGGTAAGAAAACAACCTCTTAAAACTCACTGATTTAATTTTTTTATATTCCAAACTAAGAGAAATTAGGATAGAATGGGAATATAGGGCAGTACGAAACTTAGTTGGTAAATGACAGATCGAAAACCAAGTGGCTGTGGATCCTTGCCCTAGTAAACAATACCTCTTTCCCCCTCTTTGTTCGCATTTTCCTTCCCTTTTCTCTTTGTACCATGAGCTAATCCACACCTTTTAAAGTTAAAATTTTGTACCATGCATTGTGGCGCATGCAATTTATGCCACTGTATGTGGTACGGTGAAAAAAATCTCACTACTGCTCGCATGTTTCTTTCCAAAATATCATTTTTCCACTCGATCCTAGTCATTCAACATGCCAAAACATTAGTTCACCATTCAAAACTCTAATTATTTAATTAATTCACTAATTTATTAATTTACTTTTAATTAACAATTAGCTTTCGAATTAAAAATCCAAGATGTTATGTATAGATAGTCTCATGAATTTATATATCATCATTTGTAAATTTAAGGATAGTCACTAGAAAATTTACTTGTGAATTTGTGGTCACTTTATGAATTTTAGAAAATTTATTTGTGAATTTGTGAAAAATAATTGTGAATGAGTAAATAGTTTAGTGCATTTATGTATTGTCACTTGTAATTTAAGGAATGCTAATCATGAATTTAATGAATGTCTTGTAAATTTGTGGAAAGTTAATTAGAAATAGATAGATAGTTTCTTGTGAATAGTTTTAATTGTAAATCTCCAATCTAAAGACAAAAGCAAATGTTTGCAAACATTTACAATGAATGTCAAAATAATTGAATTTTTTTTAACCCAAAGTGTGAAAGAGAAAATACATGTGTTAAAATTTATCTCACTAGAGCGAATATGAAGCAAAGTATTTTGTTTTATCGCACTATATAGCAAGGAGGGGAGGAAGATGGTTTGAAGTTTGCTTTAGATGCGAGATTTTGGCATCATTTTGTAAGTTTTATAGACAACATTTGCTATAATAA